AGTCCTTCATTAGTGTTTTTCATAAATTTCATAACAGTTGCATTTTCCATAACAGAGTCTTTTAGAGCATGTACCAAGGAATATTCACTTTCTTCAATATCATTTATTCAACAATACATTTTGTGTTTGTATTTTTTATATGCAATAAATGAAAATATTAAATCTCTAATAAAACAACAAAATTCACTTGATTAGGTAATAAAAAAAAAATATTGTACAGTCTTGTTGTATTATTTTAATCGACATAAATTGATAACAATATGCTTCCATTGTACAGTAAAGCCAACATATTCAAAATCTACTTTACCACTTGTTTTTCATCTTTTTTATAGATAACCTTGCAATTAAATGATAATAATTGAAAGTATTGTACGTGGGTTGATCCAAAAGTAATGTCACAGTGTCTATATCTTTTATATTTGGCGTCATTTTATCAAATATAATATATCAAAAGATGCACAAATATAAATTTAATTAAATCTTAATTTTTCATTCAATAATGTTTAACTGAATATATTTTATAGACGTTTAAAACATATAAGATAGGGGGTGTCGCCGCGTCATAACCGAACGTCACAAATTAATTAAAGTGTACTTTTTTTAGTATAAAAAAAGACAAACACTTAAAAAGCATATTTTATTCAAATAAAATGTTTGGTTGCTGCCATGTATTTATAAGCGAAAACTACTTCAAATATTTAAATTTATTACCTAATCCAATGAATTCTGTTGTTTTATTATAAATCAAATATTTTCATCTATTCTGTATGTGTTTTCAGTTTTCCTTATCTTAACAAACCGATCTATTGACTGGCGATCTATTGACCGGTCAATATCCAGCACGTTCTATTGACCGGGCAACGTATTTCGGAAAACAAATTTCAAATTTAGTTGTTTGTAACCTGCATAGTCATGATAAACAATCCTATTATTCGGTCTTTCGACATTGGTTTTAAAAATTGTGTGATTTCACTGGTCGGATATTTCATTTAATGAGAATTACTATTAATTAATACACTGTGGGACGTGGGACCGGTTCTTCGGGTGAGACCTATCAACCGATCGAGGTCCGGTGTCGCAGTATGCAGTAGCGAGTAATTGTATAATAATCTAGGATATGTGAGTGTTAAAATGCCGAAAAACTAGAATTTTAAATCCATACATGTACGTACGTTCATAAGTACGTGTATATCTTTGCCAGATATTATTATCCATTTACGTACTTGTAAAGTTCACTAGACGTGTGTATAGGGTGATAACCATGTATCCCGCGCAAGGTGTATGTATGTTCCTCTGTTATTATGCAAGACCGAAGCCAAGTCAACTGAGCTAGTTTTTTGATGGATTAAATTAAAATAACATCAGTAGTGAAAGCGAAAAAATGGCATTTATTGAAGTAAATGACGCAAAACAAAATATAAACATATTTTAAGGGGGTCAGACAAGACTAGAAAAAAGTTCGAAAGAATACAAAAATCTTTGGTATCATATTATGCAATCTGACCCCCTGAAATTATATATATCATAAAGCAGGCACTGATATGCCTGTCATGTATATAAGATATATATGTCCTTCCCACAGCCAGAGGGTTAAATGTTTGACTTTGAGATATGTCGTATAAAACAATAGAACAATGAAAAACTTTTATTATGCTACCAAAGCGGGGAAAACCGCAAATCTGTTAAATCGTGGGAAACGAATCATCGAGAAAAACGACACTGCATGAATTGAGGACGGAATTTTTACTCCTAGATTTGAAGAGTTTCAATATTTAAAGAACTCGTACATCTAGTTTTGAATCAGTTTTTTAACAAATTAAACATAATAAGAAAATAGGAAAGTTTGGGTTAACGTTGAGTGAATATACAATGCAAAATTCACCTGTTATTTAGACTGTTTCGGTTTGGGATTTTCCTGTTGTCAACAATGTTAAAAAAGCTTTAGAATAAGCTGGAACCGGTTTCTAGGGAACATTTTCATGAACCATCGACTCAACTGGCTATCATGCCTCTTGTTCCAATATTCCGGAATGGTTGGTTTCCTGATTAAACCCATATTCAGTATCACAGCAATGAACCTTTTCATTTCACTTATGGTCACAGTAACCCACTTCCTTGCTCGTGAAAATCGAGACAGAAAAGACTTTCTAATCTGATTTCGAGCATTTCTAAATTGTTGATAAATTGTACAAATATTTTTTTATACATACAAGAGAAAATTTCTGAAATTATTGCGTGGACCCTGCGGTCCACGCAGTAAATATATAAGCGAAGTTAAACCGGATGCCCTGGGCAAACGACAGGCTACGCATGCGCGCGAATGCTGGAGAGTTCACACCTTAGGTAACTTGCACGTAGAATAATTCGCCCTACTTGAATTAAAATATGCCATTCATTGGCAAATCGCGCTTTTAAATCTGCATATCGCATTTACACATTTATTGGCAGATCCGATTTCCTCTCTTTTACATATATATACTTTTATACTAAACATTGATTCTATGGTACAAACATTTTAAGAAGTTACAGTATATAGATACATGTAACTTAACAACTTGAATGAGAAACGTCACTCAACGAACAGAGATACATGTAGCTTTTAAAGCTTTTAAAGTAGAGCAAGTTTTCACCGGCATAATTAGTTTTGTGCATCAAGACTCGCAAAATAATTTAATATTTCAGCAATCTAATTATTGTTTGATAAAGGTCTGTAGCAACGGCTTTTAATGTGTGTGTGTGTGTGTGTGTGTTGGGGGTGGGGGTGGGGGTGGGGGCTCCGACAAAATAAAAATCAAATCTGCGTTGTACAGACATGTGCTACACGTGAACCATCAGATCTCCATTTTTCCCATGATAAATTTCTTCCGTATAAATCCAGAACAGGTGTCAAGTCCCAGCCATTATGTGTTACACGTGTCAAAATAACCCGATTTTTAAACATGTTAAAACTGACAAAACTAAAGATCGCTAATCGGAAATAAAATTTCACGTTTGTGCTTTGAGACTACGATCAGTTATAAGTGGCAGATGATTTTAGAATAAGTGAACAAACCTTACATGAATATTCCCTTCACCTAGAAATTTTCTTAATTGAATTTCAGTTAGAAAAAACACGCATATTGTCCACGTATTGCAGTCCTTTTTTAAAGGACAGCAACTTGTTACTGAATATTAATTTAAAATAATTATACTTTCATGAATCATTTATGTTTTCGTTAAAAGCAGATCAAAAGAAGGTGATATAGGAAGGGAAAAAATGCGGTAGGATTTAATAACATACAATATGTACTAGTACAGTATAGTAATGTTATCAGAGTTATGAATATCAAACTACATAAAGCATAAAAGAGCTAAGATTTTTTTGACTGACGGTAATTTTTTTTATGACGTTATAAAATTTCCAATATTCTCAGTTTTAACTGGGAAAACCCCGAATTCCCTTTGTTTTATTCTAGACAGCCAATTCTTTAACCTATTCATTAGAAATCCACTTAATCAACACGCTTCTGATATTTTGTACAATACTATTGTTTTAACTTATGACAGGGACAATAGACTCTTAAGATAAAATTTTGGAAAGAAGGTGGGGGCCAGTGATCTGCATGAATCATTTGTACATTGGAAACTGTGAAATATTTTTATCCGTTTTTCCTAGGGGGTACTAAATCAAAGTAATGTTTCAAAAACAAAATATACACCAAAAATATTTAACGTATAGATGCAGGATACGTGTACATGTACATTATAGAATAGAAGATTAGAATTGCAGATTATAAAAAAGCCTAAACTGACCCAAACCAGATTATCATCGAATAATTTGGCCAAGAATTAGAGTCATTCCTTATAATTTAATTTTAAAATAATTAAACAACTGTGGGTGTAAAATTGTATTGCTTTTTTTAGTTCAAAGCCGCTCAAGAATGTAACGGACGTGATATAAAACAAGGGGAGGTCTTAACTGATATACAGATCTAGCAGCCATGATGTTGTGTACACGAGGTAAGATCGAGCTACTGTTTGAAGTTGAATGTACATTTATTCAATCTGGAATTTCCCATGAATTCCAAGGACTGGAAATGAAGGGATTGTATGGATTCAGCTGGTTGTCAAGGGGGTGTGTTCCCATACCAAACCAGCTAGGTTATTAAGAAATTGAAATTGAAAATTGAGCACTTTAAAATATAATGCGCTTAAGTTAAACTAATTATTTGACTTTTTTTCTGTGGATCAACAAAATTTGCCAGCATGTTATTATTTTTTCTATTGTTTTTCAAAGGGACAGGTGCATTATACTGTATGGGGTATGTATTTTATCCAATTCAGACCTTTTATCAAAATTATGCTGATAAATTGGTCAAGTGTTAATTTGTTAATTTGAGTAAACTTTGAAATTTTTTGAAATGTATTTATTATTCAGAAGTTTATCGGGCATTGTCCGAGCAACTAACCGTCCGGAGACTATCTGCCTAACTTTTTCACGATGAGAACATTTTTCCAAAAAATTATTATGATGGCCAGAATACAATAATTTAACAGAAGAAATAACGAATGAGACCAAAACTCGTAAAATCAAAATTATTTTAAAATAGTTCTCCTCAAAATTAATAGCATTATTAGTATATATTATCATCATCATTATTATTCTTTGTAAAACAGAATCCATGACTTCATTTTACAAAGAGAACTTTGTGTTCGGATTGTTCTTAATGTACTCTGTTTTAAAAATGTTGTGATTTTTGCTTTGTAAAAAAATATTAAAGAACAGGGTACAGTATCAATACAAATCTTGCCCTGTATTTTTATAAAATTAAGAAAGAAATGATGTTAGAAATTCATATGCATCCTTTCTGAATTATTGAAAATATCAAATCGTTTTCCAGTATGACCTTCTCAGTGCTAATTGTGATGTCATGAACCTGTGCATTTTCCCGTATTTTCTTTTAAAGTTGTAGAAGACATGACTTTTCAGTAGAATTTTCATTTAGAGAACAAACGGTGCATGTATCGCCCACAAAAATTTTAAGTTTGTGAATTTTAAATGCATTTTATACAATATACATGTACATGTACCTAACATTTGAACTAGGCAACGGCAACAGACACTTAATATTTTCTAAATGCAAATGAGCACAGAAATGAGTCTCTTTGAGTCTTTTCTGTGTAGAACTTAGAAATGTACCAAATCAAATACGTCTTTCTTTCCAGAGTGGTCCTCCTTCATGTCATGTTCTTTTACTGATTTATCATATTCATCTACTACTTTTGTTATTTTTTCTTTTTAGAATGAATGGAATTGAGTGTTGCGCTGGTTATAAATGGAATGAAATCACAAAAGATTGCAGCACAAGTAAGTAAACTTTCTTTTTATTGATATGTAAAAATGCATAAAAATATGCATATCCTATTTGATCAGAGATCAAATTAAAGCTTAGGTAAAAAGAGAGTTTAATTTTGTAATCAACGTATTTGACTGATCTGCAGTGTCTTCTAAGAGATCATTTAAGTTAAAACATTGCTGTGACGTCAAGTCTTTGTTCTTGCAGTCTAAAAATTTACCAGTAGCCGTCCGATAATAATAATTACCAGTCTGATAATATATTACCGGACGGTAATGATAACAAAATCGGACGGTATTTAAATAACAAAAAGAAGAGCGAAATTAAGATTAAATATGTCCAGAAACCCCAAACAAAAATGTTAGGAAAAAAATTCAGGGAAACCAAACGCAAGGAAATTAAGTTGATCACAATATAAAATACTTGTATCAAATCCATGAAAAGGAATCCGAGTTAAAACCTTCCACAACATTAATTTTCACTCTTTAAGTTTTTGATTCAGCACTTTAAATAAGCGAATTTAAATCCATTTCTGAAAAAAAGATTCTGCAATCTCCTTTTAAGTTTGTTCCCCGATGGCCACACTTTCAAATCCTGAGAATTTCCATTACACCCCTACTAATGTTATTGTGATTTAAATTCAAGACACGTGGTTTAGGTTGATCTATTCAAAGGTTATAGGGTAGAACCGGTTTTATAAATAAAATTGGCAGTAAACATGATATTGCTATGGCCTGTTTCTTTTGAAAACATGTCCTGTAATAAATGTTTCCAGACCTTTCTGAAAGACTTTCATGATTTTCAACACAAAAAGGGTGGCTAAAGGAGGGGGTGTTAAAATAACAATATATCATACTTTTCGGCGAAAATTAGAGCTCACTAGTGACCGATTCGCTGGAAAAAAATGTGTATTATCATCTACACTGACGAACCTTTGTTTGCCTTATATAGCTATTGTTATAAATGAGCACAGAGGATCTTACCACGAGCAACTGAACAATCGTTGAATGAATAGCAACGTTTACACCAAATACATGTTTACATTTTATTTCGAACACGTAGTTCAGGTCAATTTAGGATCATGTCAATGGACTGCAAAATAACTAAAATATTCTTACGAACAAAATACAAAGATAAAAATTAACTGAAAAGAGATGTTCAAGAAAACGTAGTTTGTGTCCAGTTCAGAACACCAGCGCTTCAAGGGTAAGGAAAACGAGCAGCATCTTCTATGCATTTAAATGGACAAAACTTTGTTTACGTTCGTGATCACGTGTTCGGTCAGGGAATTCACCTGGCAATTGTATATATTCACCGATAGTACAACAAAGGAGTTAATACAGACGCAAATCGCTTTTGCAGTACGACTTTCAGAAACCTAGACTTCCACTGTTTATAAAACAAATGAATTGTTTGTCATTATGAGCATGAAACTTATATTTTTAAAAATGCTTTTCATTTACCATAAGATTTTCTTTTTTTTCAAGCGTAAAATTCCTGTAGTATTCGTAGTAACCCATAATGCAATACCCATTCAGCTGATTGGTCAGTTAAAATCATGCTGGTGCCTCATTTGCTAATCTGACGCCAAAAAATATAGTCCCGGTTCCCATGCAAAAATATTTGTCCAAGAAAGAAACTTTAATTCAAGACTGCCGAAGATTGTATTATGGTGAAAACTTATTTTATAAGTTTGAATAAATGAAAGAGAGATCGATTGATTGAAATACATTTCTACAGACATTTTCAGATTCTAGGGTGGTGAAAACTGAAACGCAACATAACTTTTTTGTTTACCATGACTCCACGTGCTAGTCACTTCCTAGCCACATTTCCGTGAATAATTTACCCTATCTCGCTGAAGTTTCGCTAACTCTCGCCAGATCCACTGCCAGAGCTACTCTGAACTCATCGGGTTTTATAATTTACAGAACACCGAAAAATAAAAGGTTCCGAACACATTAGTAGGGGTGCATTAGTTAAGCTAAAAATTCAGCTATAGGGTGAAAATCCGCATTTTACTTGCCATGGTGATGGTTACAATATCACCCAAATTTATGCCAGTATCAATGTCAATTTATCCACATTATAAATAAAAATGCCCCCCACCCAAAAAAAAAAAAATCTTTCACCACCGTATCCCTGCCCTGCTAAACGAAACGACTGCCATTGAATGAATGAAATTAATGAAACAAGAGTTCACTCACTTTTTTACCGTTCACTCATTTCTTTTATCTACTTATCAGACGGGTAGAAAACAATGGATGCTTGAACTCCCATTGTGTTATTATCGGACTTCTCCAGGTAACTTTTGGACATTTAAATGACAATGTTTTATTATGATTTTACAAACAGCGTGACAGTCTGCTTGATGGAGCGTGCTAAAATTTTGTGTGCTGGTTATCATTTTGCTCATCGATTGGATCAATGAAATCAATACTAATTTGCATATGAAACTCGGAATACAACAATAGCCTGATAATACTGACCAATCACATTGAATGATTGTTTACCGGTACGGCATTTGTAGTCACCAGCAACACGTGGTCAGTCGAAGCCAGTTTTTCTGTCCTAAAAAAAACATGTATTATATTTGTTGTGATTTGACCGGATGGGTTTTTAAATACGTATAAGAAAGTTAGTAAGGCTACTCTGCTTCTGTTGTACTAGACGAGAACAAGACGCATGCGCAGGGGAGAGGCGTCCTGATTCACAGCTCATCAAAAATTTATGAAATTTACCAATAAGATGATCCCTTATCTTCCTATATTTGTCAGATTTGGTAGAAGATCACCTAAATGAAGTATTTATATCGTTTTCACCACAAATCTTTAACAGATTTATTTCTAATGATCTAAAATCGTAACCGGAAGTTCAACTATCTACTTTCACTTTCATTGTTTACGAAATGTTCCCGGGAAAATGAACACACTACAAATTGTGTTATTGTTTCTGGTAACCATCGGGAGATTTCAGAGAGTACCAAAACAAAGATCTCTTCCTCTGATAGACAGCTTTGACATCAGTGCTGAAGTTTTCCAAGTTGATAATTCCATAATCAGACAACATATTGTGTTAGTATCCAGAAAAGTTGCTGGTAAGTCATGTAGCTTATACCTGCATCTTTTAGCCCTTTTACTATCCAACGATTGCCATCCAAATCCAGGCCCAAGGACCCCTAAATTTCCCTGTCAAATCTGTGGGAAAGCTTGCAAATGGTCCCGCACTCGGCATTCTGTAGCTTGCAACAACTGTGAACTCTGGTACCACACTGACTGTATGGGTATGACAACCCAAATGTACAATGCCTACGCAGAACCTGATGTAAGCTGGTACTGCTGCTCCTGTGGTCTTCCAAATTTTAACTCAAGTCTGTTTGATGATTTTTACCACACCAATCAGAATCATCAACCCAGTCCTACTCTAACCTATCAACAACAAGGGTCTCGATATCAACAAATGCAGACATAGGCCCCCCACAATTTACATCTTCACCAAAGAAAATCCAGCAGGAAAATTACTCATATTCCAAACGCAAGCTCAGAGTCATATCAATAAATCTACAAAGTATCAGAGCTAAAAAAGAGTCATTCCATCATATGTTAGAGCAAACTGACCCAGATATAATCCTAGCTCAAGAGACATGGCTTAGATCAGATATCTATGATCGTGAAGTCTTACCACCATCTTATAAGTTCATTGCCAGGAGGGACAGACCATCAGACCCCCATGGTGGAGTTGCCATCATAGCTCGCTCCAATATACAGGATACAGAAATACAGCTCAACACCGATTGTGAAATAGTGGCAGCTACCTTCCAGGTCCAAAACTTAAAGAAGCCCCTGGTCATAGGATCAATCTATAGGCCACCTAGCAGTGACCAGCTGTATATGGATTCATTATGTAGTGAAATCCGTTCCTTGTCCAACAAGCACAATGGTTCAGTGATGTGGTTTGGAGGGGACCTGAACTTACCAGACATTGACTGGAATTCAGCCACAATCATAGGCCATAGCAACCCAGCGGCTATGAACTCAGCCTTCATTGATACCATTCAAGACATTGGCAGTGAGCAGATTGTTAACTCACCAACCCGAAATGAAAATATACTGGACATCATCATCTCTAACCGCCCCACCCTTGTAAATAAGTGTGTCAACATCCCAGGCCTAAGTGATCATGATGCCATATTGTTCGACTCAAACATTGTACCAGCTAGACAAAAACCAGCTCGACGTCTCATCCACCTGTGGAAACAGGCAAATCTTGATGGTATGAGAGAAGACCTAAACCAGTTCTCTACAGAGTTTACAGCAAACCACAGCATTGACTCACCAGTGGATCAACTCTGGTTATCCTTTAAGTCAAAATGCTTGAATACCCTACAGAAACATGTGCCAACCAAGATGACTTCACAACGGTATAGCCAATCCTGGTGCAATAGGAAAATCAGACGGCTATCTCGCCGAAAACAGAGAGCCTTCAGGAAGGCAAAGCAGACCAAAAGGCAAAAAGATTGGCAGTATTACCAAGACATACAGAAGTCATGCCAAACAGAGTGCAAGCTGGCCTTCAATTCATACATTGAAAATATTGTGAGTGACGATAAGAGCAACAAAAAGCTGTTCTCACTAGTCAAAGACCGTAAGTGTGACAGCAGCGGCATCTCACCACTCAAGAAGGAGGGAGTTCCTCGGTCTGACCCTAAGGAAAAAGCGGAGATACTGAATAACCAGTTTTCTTCTGTCTTCACCTCAGAGGATGGCTCATCACTTCCTGTCCTTGGTCCAAGTTCCATCCCGGACATGCCAACCATATCCATCAAGCAAGAGGGCATTAGGAAATTACTATCAAGGCTTAACCCTCATAAGGCAAGTGGTCCTGACGAACTGCCCACACGTCTACTCAAGGAAATGGCCAGTGAAATCACACCTGCACTCACACTTGTCTTCCAGGCCTCAGTACATCAAGGCACAACACCAGCAGATTGGAATACAGCCATCGTTACACCAATCTTCAAGAAAGGAGACAAGAGTAAACCATCAAATTACCGACCAGTGTCCTTAACTTCTGTATGCTGCAAAGTCCTGGAACACGTCATACATAGCTCCATCATGCGGTTCTTCGACCAACATAACATCTTATCTGATATGCAGCACGGATTCCGCAAATCACGATCTTGCGAATCTCAACTCATAGTCACCATCCAAGACCTGGCAAAAGGGCTAGATGACAACATCCAAATTGATGCCGTGCTCCTCGACTTCTCCAAGGCCTTCGACAAAGTGCCACACCAGCGGCTGGCTAAAAAGTTACACCACTATGGTATCCGTGGCCCAACTTTGTCTTGGATAGAGTCATTCCTAAGCAACAGATCCCAGCGCGTTGCAGTGGAAGGCATCTTGTCAGATTCAGCGCCAGTAACTTCAGGAGTACCTCAAGGGACAGTACTAGGACCATTGCTATTCCTTGTGTACATCAATGACCTACCTACACAAGTGAAATCAAACGCCCGTCTGTTTGCAGATGACTGCCTCCTGTACAGGAAGATTTGCAAACCAGACGACATAGCGGCACTACAACAGGACCTAGACAGGCTCCAAGAATGGGAAAGGAAATGGTTAATGGAATTCAATCCTGACAAATGCGAGGTCATCCGCATCACACGAAAAAGGAAGATCATCCAGGGAAGCTATTTCATACATAACCAGGTCCTGAATATAACCAACAAGGCTAAGTACCTGGGTGTAACTATTACCAACAACTTAAGCTGGAACACTCATATAGACCAGGTCTGCAAGAAGGCAAACTCCACCACAGCTTTTCTCCGGAGGAATCTACCATCCTGTCCTCATAAGACCAAGGAGATGTGCTACACAGCAATGGTCAGACCACAGTTGGAATATGCGTGCACTGTGTGGGATCCCTATACCCAGAACAATATCAGCAAGCTGGAAAGTGTACAGCGCCGAGCTGCAAGGTACGTGCTGGCTGACTACCAGACCACCAGCAGTGTCACCTCCATGATCCAGCAGCTGGGATGGGAGATGCTACAACATCGCCGCCAAAGCAGTGTTGATGTACAAGATCTTGCATTCCCTAGTAGCCATTCCATCCTCACCTTATTTCCATCCTACTGGTGCTGCTACTAGAGGCCATAAACAAAAACTGCAAATCCCATTTGCCAGAACAGACACATATAAACGATCCTTTATTCCGTCTGTGGAACGCTTTACCATCCAGCGTCACAGAAGCCCAATCCCTTGACTTATTCAAGTCGGGGCTGGGAAAAGTTGGTAAACTTTAAGGTGTCAGTAGTGTTTTTATCCAGTTTTTAATTGTAAATAGAGGACTCTACACTGCGCCTGTGTCCTGTTTTAACAAAGTGCGATGATGCCCAAAAGGCCCTGCACTATACCGGAAGAAGAAGAAGATATATATATATATCTATATATATGTATGTTGCTCTATCAATATCATCATTATAGGAAGTAAAATTTGCTTTGTCCGTTCACGTGTTATTGTTGTTTATTCAATGCGATTGGTCAGTATTGTCAGTGGTATTGCTGGCTTCTGTGTTTCTTATGCAAATTATTATTGATTCCATTGAAATCAAACATCCAATCGATGAGTAAAATGATTATCAGAGATAAAAATTTTTAGCACGCCCTATCAAGTGAACTGTCACGCTGTTAGTAAAACCATAATAAGTAAGATATATATGCCTCATACTATTCTATATGTAAAATTATCAGGCCCTAACGGGCCTCAAACAGTCTGATAATTTTACCTATAGAACAGTATTCGGCATATATCCATTACTTAAATCTGTAAAATACAATTATATTTGTTTATAAGTGCATTAAAAAAAAAAGAATTATATATATATATTTTTTTTTTGAAAAAATGTACACAGTGTTTCGTGACTTTAAACTTAAATTTATTCCCAAAAATTCTCTGTAAAGGATCAATTATAGATACAAAACACTGAGACTTGATGCAGAAATTTAAAGCGCAATATTTACGTGATTAAAATAAAATGAGGAAGTAATTTTAAGATAAAGTGATACAAAGTAAATTATATACGTATGTATAAATATATAATTGATTTTTGCAGAATTTTAACAAAAAGTTTAAATGTCGCATTGTCAAGTAGAAATTTGAAACAAAAGATATCGCAGTGTCTTATACATCTGTTTCATATTTGGATATTAAATTACTTGAAGAAAACGTTTATGGTAATCAAAAAAACAAGATTTATGATAAACTTGACGAATTTAACTTTCCCTAGCTGCAGATCTGTAGCTCTCCAAAAAATTAATTGACAGACCAGAGAGCTACAGTGCCACCCATTGAAAAAACTGTGTATTTATTGTGCACAAAAAAGTGCGCTGATTATCGATTTAATCATTTAATCTTTCACTGTTTCCACAACAAAACTTACCGTATAAGTAGAAAATTTTAGCGAGACGCAAATTAAGCGATTTTTCCTTAAAAACTCTTAATTTATTTATAGCGAGATGTTATTTTAGCGATTTTAAATGCACATTAAAGAAGCTATTACAAATAAAACGCAATTAATTTTTAGCGATATTCCGTTTTAGCGATCTCGGCACCCTTCGCTCATAATGCCAAAATTAAATCCTCGCTAAAAATTCTACTTATACGGTACCTTATAGTTGTTGTTTATAGCCCTCCTGGCCCTGAAATCGAGATCATCGAAAATTTCGTCTGTTTATACTGCCGTTTTGGTTTGTAAAATTTGGTTTGTAAACGCGCTTCGTGTCGGAGTCAATACTAAATTATACTTGATAGAAGAGTACGGAATGTTTTGAAATCTAAAGTCTTTGCAATTGTGGTAAGAATTAGGAAGAATTAATCCATACACTTGCGCAACTTTTTGTGCGCAATAAATATAGTTTTTTCAATTCGTGGCACTGTAGCTCTCCGGTCTATCAATATATATTTGTCGAAGAGCTACAGTTTTGCAGCTAAACTTTCCCTCACTTATTCATCGCCTGCAATAGTTTATTTCTCTCGGTTGATGCAATATGCAAGAGAGTGTTCTACGTAAACGTATGAATAATTTGGTAAAACGAGGGTCGCGTCATAGACGGCAAGGTGATGAAACAAGAATATCAGCAGTCTCGTTTAAAGTCATTATATCGTAATTTCCATTAAGTAAGGAAGCTTATTTCAACTTAATATATTATACAATTATGGACTTCAGTGTAGGTCGATATGGGGTTATAAGGACTCATGGCAATTGATATTGACCGAAGACACAGAAAGTGATAGCGACCGAGCCTGCGAAGCGGTTTATAAAAAAGCGTTAACTGTCCAAAGTTTTGTTAAGTTGAAATAAGCTTCATTCCGTATAATTTAATTTCAGTTTAGGCAGTGAGACTTAGGGCAGTTTACGCTTTATAAACCGCGAAGCGTTTTACAAAAAAAGCGTAAACTGCCCCAAGTTTTGTTATATATCGTATAATATAAGTTGAAATAAGCTTCATTCCTTATAATTTAATTTCAGTGCAGACAATGAGATAATTTCCTCCTCAGAATAAGGCTTTACAATGATCAAATTTTAAAAGTAACGTCAAGCGGAGTAATACGTTTTTTGATAATATACAAAATGGATAAAATCTTTTATCCAATCAAATGACGTGTTACAAGTAAAATTAAATAATTTCTCGATGAAAAAAATTTCAGCAAGCACAGTTTTTAGCTCTACTTGTCAGAGACCAGAAGAGCTTATGCGATAGTAAGGTGTCCGTCGTCCGTCCGTCTGTCTAGCTGTCTGTCTGTCCGTCTGTCTGTAAACAATTTTTCAAAACGCTACTCCTCCTACAGTTTTGATCTGATTTAAATATAGCTTGGCACACAAGTAGACTTCTCTAAGATACATAAAATAGTGCATCGGTTTTTTTATTTCGATGAATGATATTGCCATGGTTACTAAAAATAGAATTTTCTTTGAAACACCTTTAAAACGCTACTCCTCCTACAGTTTTGATCTGATTTCAGTATAACTTGGCACACAAGTAGTCTACACTAAGATACATAAAATAGTGCATCGGGTTTTGATTTCGATGAATGGTGTTGCCATGGTTACTAAAAATAGAATTTTCTGTGAAATTCTTAAAAACGCTACTCCTTCTACAGTTTTGGTCTGATTTTAATATAACTTGGCACCCATGTAGTCTACACTAAGATACATAAAATAGTGCATCGGGTTTTGATTTCGATGAATGGTGTTGCCATGGTTACTAAAAATAGAATTTTCTGTGAAATTCCTTTAAAACGCTACTCCTTCTACGGTTTTGGTCTGGTGGCAATTGTTTCTTTTCTCATCCTTTGTTATAAGTACAAACCAGTAGAGCTACAGTCTCGACAGAGACTTCTGGTTCGTTAAGTTAAATGCTAAAGTTTTTCATACTAATTGTTAGACCATAATTTACACACTGAATTGTTGACGGACTTTTTCATTATCTCCCTCCAAATCATGACAAGGAGACCGCTGATGTGACTAGTCGGCAAGGGATGCTAATCCTCCACGACATCTTATCCCAACTCTGAGTTTTAGGAGTTCCGTGAACTACCAAGATAATTTTAATGAAAGGCTTCGCTGAATACTGAATGAAATACCCTTGGTATGCAAGAGGTCCGACGGCAATGTATTGAATTTCAAGGTGTTCAGTTAAGTTTATGTTATAAACCCGCAAGGGGGAAACGTGATCCTAACATTAGTGTTAGCTTGATGACGCGACCTCTAAATATAGAAAGGGGGAAACGTACCATTATTTTTTTCCAGTTACGAAAAGACCCTTAATTTCCTAAATGTAAATTCATCTAAAACTGTTTTATGCCATGTAATTCATGTTTATCACCATTAATTCAGAGTGTGATCCTGGTTACATCGGTATTAACTGTACCGGTCAATGTAGTCCTGGTCGATATGGAGAGGCCTGTGCCTATCAGTGTGTCGAGTGTGAAAAGACTGAGTGTAATGTTTCATTTGGGTGTCCAATGACCACAACAGGTAAAGGTATAGAAATGTACAAGCTACGAATAATGTTTCCGTCCTAATATTTACACTAAAAAAAGTTAATTTTTGTTTCTTCAACTTTTTAAGCTCAAATCGACGAGATTGGGGGCATTTAGTGTCAAAGATTCAAAGAATATTATTATTTAACATACATTTAAAAACCAATGTTGGAATTTTTTTCAAAATGGCGAACTTTGGAGAAGAGGGATATTTCACCTTTAAGCTAAATGTTATATTACTTTTGACAGAAAAATTTCAAGGCTTTCAAAACAGAAGCTTGGCTCTTAATCCTGAAGAAAACCACGAAAAAGAAAAGAATGCAGTGAATATTTTGCAGATTGTATCCCTTACCTTCTCGGTTGGAACGTTTGTAGTTCTGGTCATGTTATTGGCGTACAAACGTACCCACAGGAACGGGATCAAAGTGACTGCCAATCCTCGACCTGAAAATTATTCGAAGACAAGCTCAAACTACCAGACTCTTAATGATATGGCCGTTTACAGCGGAATGGCAAAGGTTCAGATAAATCTAAACACATCGGAAAAAACGTTCACAGTTTTCCTGAATACTGATTCGAAAGGAACAACCAACATAGAAGCATTGCGTCGGTTGGAGAACAAAGAATCCGAAAATGCATGCGCTTTGGATGCCTCTCTGAATGGAAATGCTAAAAATTATGAAACTCTTCAATAACTAACATTTCTCTAGGAGGACAAAATATTCTATGTAAATTTTAATCAGCGATATGTATGTTTATGTAGAGGTCATATCTAAATTATTTAGAATTTACTTCAATCTATCTTAATCTTTCATGTTTTCAAAGGCACATATTTTATTTGTTACAAAGACATTATAAGACCTAAGAATTAAGAATACAAACTTTTCAAGGAGAGAGACAGAGAGAGAGAGAGAGTAAAACATTTTTGTCAAACTTTGGTAAAGGAATAAAGTTTTTCATGACAAAGTATCCTAACCCGATGCTTTATTCCAATTGTCAGAGACACAAGAATTTTAAAAAAACAAACAATGACAAAGACAACTTCAAAATATTCAAATACAAACGTTCTGGTAACTTTGAAAAGTCATGATTTGGAAAAAAAAATTGAAATTACACTGAGGATGTTTCCAATATAAATATGACCAACCATGACTTTGTTGTGTTTGAGAAGATGATATTTAAAGTTTCCCTACGTACTCCTATGTAAAAAATTGATTGTTAATTGTGGCCCCATCCTACCCCGGGGATGAGTCATGACTTGAACAATTCTAAATCTAACTACCTGAGAATGCTTCCACATAAGTTTGATATTTTCTAACACAGTAGTTTTTAATTGAGAAAAATATTATCAAAAGATGTAATAAAATATTTTTTTCACAAAATCATAATCATCTCTACATGAAAAAGGCGTGGCCCTTCATTTTAACAAACTTGAATCCCCTTTACCCAAGGATACTTTGTGGTAAGTTTGGTTGATATAGGTTTATAAGTTTTACAAGACGACACGCCAGCTGACAACGAACTTATTTTTAATCAGAACCATCGACTCTTGTAAGCTATAAAAAAAATTAAATAAATAATAACCTATGTTTATTTAACACAAAAACTAATCAAAATTACATGAATTCCTAGTCTATCATACCTATAGTTCAAAACCCGATATCCTTTTCACTTTCGTAAAGATTAAGAAATTGGATGCACATGTACCAAATAAAGCCAATCTTTGAAAAGCCAGACCTTCTTTTCAAATTTTCGTTAAATCTGTCACAGAGCACCACTAGACCAAGGAATCTCTTTCTGATAAAACTAAGAGATGTGAGAATTGTTGTGGTAATAAACAACAAGAGGCCCAGGGGTCACAGCGCTCACCTGAGCACATCGGCTAAGAAAAAGCACATATTGGATCAGAACTGAAAGTTTACTGAGGTTGAAGGGGGGGTGAATTTTAACCCCTCAGGGGATCATATTTTGAATGAACTAGAATTTACACTACCTGGGAATAATTCCATATAATATTACTAATTATGGCTTTGAAGTACTTGAAAAGAAGATTTTAAAAAGTTTCAATATATATTCCTATGTAAGACTTTGGTCGGCCATTTTGGTCCCACCCTAGCCCCAGGGGTCATGATTTGAATAAACTTGATTCTACACTACCTGGGTTGATTCCACATGAGTTTTGTCTTTCCTGGCCCAGTTGTTCTTGAGAAGAAGATTTTTCAAGATTTTTCCTATATACTTATATGTAAAACTTTGATCAGCCATTTTGGCCCCACCCTACCCCCTGGGGGTCATGAATTGAACAAACTTGAATCTACACTACCTGAGGATGATTCCACATGAGTGTTTCATTTTTCCTGGCCCAGTGGTTCTTGAGAAGAAGCTTTTTTAAAAATGCCATTAACTTTTCTCTAATTCATAATTATCTCCCCTTGGAAAAGGACGTGGCCCTTCATTTGAACAAACTTGAATCCCCTTTCCCCAAGGATACCTTGAAGCAAGTTTGGTTGAAATTGGCCCAGTGGTTTTGGAGAGGATGAAAATGTGAAAAGTTTACAACAACGATTGCGACGACAACCACGACGACGACAGACAACGGACAAATTTTGATCAGAAAAGCTCACTTGAGCCTTTGGCTCAAATGAGCTAAAAATAATAGAGCTCACCTCAATGAATGTTGTCTTTAAGTTAGGAAAATGACCATATTAAGTTAATACATGTAATTTAGTAATTTACATCCTAAGATGCAACATACATATAAATGCAATTTTGATAACAAGTCCTGCAGATACTTAAAAATGGGCATCCGAAAACTTCCAACTAGTCACTCATCTAGAAAACGTATTTAAAACCTAGCATCTGAGGCAAGTTTGAGTGTGTTCATAATTTGATGCATCTTGCAAATTTGGCTCAGATATGCTTTATAGTTTCTTAGTATTAGACCCAATAGCCCTGCACCAAAATTTTAACCTGGTCCATAATCTGAAAAATGAATCCCAGATCCAGCATCTGAAGCAATTCTTTTAGTGTGCATCCTTACATGTATCATCAATGCAAGCTTTGCTCAACATAGGGCTAATAATTACTTAGAAATGATACCACTCCAAAATCTTTGACCAGTTCACTAAAATCTAGACAGATCCAGCATATAAAACAAGTTCATGTGTATGCATCCTTAGATTTATCGTCATGCAAGTTTGCTCAACATAGGGCTAATTATATAATTACTTTAGATCTTGAGATCTGCATCCCAAAGATTATGGTCACACCCAGCATCCGATGCATGTTAATAAGTGTGCATCCTTAGATGTATCATCTATGCAACTTTGCTCAACATAAGGCTTATAGTTACACTGTACTTTAGAATGAGACCTGCTCTAAAAACCTTAACCTATTCACTCATCCATGAAATGTAGGTCAGATCCAGCATCCTTAGATGTATCAACGATGCAAGTTCATGAAGTTTGGTTTAAAAAAGACCAAATAAATTTTAAGAAGCAAGACCTGACCAAAAACTTGAGCCTGTTCCAATAACATCTATCTGATCATTCCTTTGCTGAAATTGCAGCATCTAAAACATTGGCAAGTATAATAAAACATCATAGAAGCATGCATTTCTGATAAATGTAGGGCACAGAAATACTTATTATAGAAAACTGTACCAAAAACCTTAACATATGATGATGACGGTATCATTTAAGCTACCCCAACTTCATTGAAGTGAGCTTAAACTTCTCAAAAGCGGAGGAGTCATTTGTCATGTGCTTGTGCTCTCAATTTGCAAGTGCTAGAAACTTATGAACTTTTTCTTAGTCTTATTTATTTTTGTGCAACTTCCATCACGCAACTGCTCGGGAAGAGATATCATCATGTCAGTTTCCTTTCATATCATCTGAAAATAAATATTTTCTACAGTTAGGTGACAGTAGATTGCCAAAATCCTTTCATCCTAGAGAGAAAGACAATAAAATTCATAAATTTTGTTTTATTTTATTTAAAAAAAAAATTAAAGAAAGTCTGATGCTCAGGTTTATAAAACAGACAAAAAAGTGAATGAATTAGTTCACAGAAATACAACTGAATTTACTTAACAGCAGTAATTCTTCAAAGTTAATCATTACAGTTAATCATAAATATTATATAAGGAAAATTATCAAATCTCTAATACACAGTATATACATGAATTCAGGAACAGTCAAACGAAACAACAACCTTGTATTTTTTCATTTAAAATTGGTCAAAAATCATAATTTTTTAATTAGATTTAAAAAATATAAGTATCTAGGCATTCAAAATTGTATATACATGTATTTCATAGTAATTTGGTATCCTGAGTCTTCTATTTCCATCATTAATTATACAAAACAAATGGCCACAACCCCCCAGCCCCTTCAAAGCTAGAAATGAAATAAAAACTCTAAATCTATTTGTATTTGTTTTTTTTTTGTTTTTTTTTGGGGGGGGGTAAACATGTCAACTTTTTACAAGTCCCTTTCTAAACACTTCAAAAAACTTTGAATCATATCAAGAAACATAAAAAAATGGTTGCATAAAAAAAGTTTTCGATTTCAAACTCTATGTCTAGACTTTTAGAATAAAATAATAATTTTAAGAGTTATCCTTCCTGACAGAGAATTGGATATCCTTAACAAACTGATTCATAGATCATTCCGTTGCTCAGAATCAGATCGTACGAATGGTTGTTGTTGCTCAGGATGAGATCGTACGAATGGTTGTTGTTGCTCAGGATCAGATAGTGCAAATGGTTGTTGTTGCTCAGGATCAGATCCTGCCACTGGTTGTAGTTCCTCACGAGAAGATCCTTCTACTGGTTGTTGTTGCTCAGTGTCAGGGTTTCTAAGTCTCTGAAAAAACATATGACATACACTAGAGTAAAATCCAAGTACATAGGCATCAGAAATAAAAATCTATACATCTATCTTTAAAGATACTGGATAAACACAACAATTAAAGTGGTGATCTTCTCAATATCTTTTTCTTGGTTAGAAGTAGGTACATTAAATCGAAGTTTCATCAACTTACACAATGTCAATTACACAATATGTCTCTAACAAAACTGTAGCTCTACAGGTATGTACTTATTATATATGTTTGTGAAACACTATGCACCCGGCGTCAACAAAGTTCAAAAAAGCTATTTTTAGTATATTGGTCACAGTTAAGGTCACAAGGTCATTGACCTTGATGTCATTTGAAAGAACTTTATTAGTGGAGTATGCATATTAAATATGAAGTCCCTATCTCCTATGGTTCAAAAGTTGAGGCAAAAAGTAGAAAAAGCTATTTTTAGCATATAGTACACAGTCAAGGTAACAAGGTCATTGTCCTTGATGACATTTGAAAGAACTTTATTAGTGGAGTATGCATAGCAAATATGAAGTCCCTATCTCTTATGGTTCAAAAGTTATGACAAACAGTTGAAAAAATTATTTTTAGCATGTAGGTCACAGTCAAGGTCACAAGGTCATTGAACTTGATATCATTTGAAAGAACTTTATTAGTGGAGTATGCATACCAAAAATGAAGTATCTATCTCTTATGGTTCAAAAGTTTTGACGAAGGTTAAAGATGACAACAGACAGAAAGACAAACAGACAGGACAAAAACAATATATGTATCGATCCGGGCGCATAAAAATTATCTACTTCTGTATCAAGTCTTGTGGAAATCTGGCCAAAACTGTAAGATGAGTATTACTTTGAAACAATTTGTCTAAGTATAGTTATCTACTTGTGTAACAAGTCTCACTGAAATTGGATTTTTTCTAGTGTTGGCAAATCGGACGATTTTTAGTAACCGGTTACTCGCTTAATCTTCCGATCGAGTACCCGGTTACTCGGATGATTTTTTTGCTATAGTTTCCGTATGTATTATTAACCTCATCCTTTTACTTATTGGGAAAAATAATCCACGAATGCAACGTACATTGTATATGAGTTTTAATTTATTTACAAATACAAACTTAAAAAAAACACAACATCTTCGAACACTATTGATTTTAAATGTCACTCGAAACATTCAATTTGTTTTCGTTTAAGAAAAAAAAATAATCAACACATGACCCTGTAATTGCTGGTTGTTTTTGTGGAGTTTCCTGCAAGTCACTGGTTTCCGAATTATGTTTCAATCTAAGGTGATTTAGCATATTGTAGTTCCACCCGTATATGACAACTCCGATTCACATAATTTGCATTTGACAGATTTCGATTCAGTCGGTTTTTAAAAAAATATATATCCACGCTTTAGATGTTTGAGGCGGCATCTTGTGAAAGTAACTTCCTCTAACTATCACAGGTCTATTTAGGTAATTATAACTCAGGTTTTCAAAACATGTACCCCCCTGGTAATCAAAGCCATCAATTATATACGCTGTGAAAACCAATCAAAACAAATCGATCCCAATTGTAAACCAGTAGAGCAAGCCTAACAGTAATTAACGGTAATTAATTTAGGGAAATGTGCCAATATACATTTACAAATCGCATAAAAAATCATTTTAGACGTATTTACTATGAAAAATGTATTTTTATCCGAGTAACCGAATAGCAGTTTTACTAACCGATACTCGCATCGTTCGACGGTTAACCGGTTAACCGGGTACTCGTTGCCAACACTAATTTTTTCCTATTTTTCAGTAACCATGGCAACACTGTTTATCATAACTAAAAATTGATTTTCATGTATCTTGGTGTAGTCTTCTTGTCATCTTCCCAAGTCAAGAGTTTCTGATCCGCTCCGCTCCACACAAACCCTTGACCGAATAGGCTAAGTTTGACGGGGTTTGAAATGCGTTCTCTGAATGGCCTCATGCAAGTTTTCAGGAACCAATCAAAATCATTGTTTTATTCAAACTGAAACTACATCGTAAACAGAAAAACACGTCAGTTTTAGTCCCAAGGATAATGTATTTTTCATTAGATAGCCCTTCTAAAGGTTTGTCTCAGTTTTTTAGTTGAGTTATATTGAATTAATTACCGATTACCAATATTATCTCGAATTCTCTGTTGAATTCTTTTACTCTGATTCGCTAATAGCAGAGGTCAGGAGAGTTCAGAATATGTAAATCTCACTAGATGGCGTGACAGTAAACCCCGTCAAACTTAGCCTATTCGGTCAAGGGTTTATGTGGAGCGGAGCGGATCAGAAACTCTTGACTTGGGAAGATGTCTTCTTGTGTGACAAGTCTTATTAAAATGGAACAAAAAACTTTAAAAGTGGTAGTGTTTTGAAACAAATTCATGGAAATAATAAATTTTAGTTCCCATTTCAACATCCCATAGTGAAAACATGAAACAAGGTGTCATGTTTTTTTTTTTAAGTCTACCTATGTACCGAGTCCTATTGAAAATGGACCAAAACTGAAGGCATTTTGAATTCCTTGTTTGCCTACTTTTAGTAACCATGGCAATGACATTTGTCAAAATCAAAGTTTGATGCTTACAATTATGCATCATAGTATAATCTACATGTGTATCATGTCTAACTGAATTCGAACCAAAGTACATGTAGAAATTTTTAAAAATTTTTTTAAAATGCAGAAGGACAGGCAGCTAGACACCAATACAAACACACACGACAGACACACAAACAAGGATAAAACAGTACACCCAGTACATTGAGGTTTAAAAAAATTAATTTATACCAAGTATTACTTACATTTCGCACTTTAATTACAGCAACAATGACAAAAGGAGTACCAACTAACATGACTACAGCAACAATAGTAATTACTATCTCAGGTTCACTGTAAAAAAAAAGATTGAGATTCAATTGTCATGCATACAAAACCATAGGTAATCGAAGATGACGAAGCTTACCTCAACAAATGTTATCAGTATAAGTATAGGGGTCCTAAGTATATAGTATTTATCCTGACAACAATATTCAAGCAAGTTCTGTTTAAACAGGTCTTAAAGTTCACTAGGGATTGACATAGGTCAGATCCAGCATCCGAAGCAAGTCTGATAGTGTCCATCCCTAGATGCATCATCCATGCAAGTTTGGTTCAGGCAGGGCTTATAGTTACCAGGGAATGGACCTGCTCCAAAAACTTTAACTGGGACGCCAACGCTAACACTGACGCCGGGGGTATAGCATTATTTTCTCAAAAAGTTATCTCTCTTATCAGAGTGATATGTTACACCGTAACTTCAAAAATTAATTTAAAGGAAAAATAACTTTTTATATTTATTTTAAATTATTTATCTGTGAAGCAATTGGACATTGTGCACACAAGAAAGAATAAGGGTTGTTAAGACTTAAGTGTGAAAATCTGAACTCTATGACATGTGCTTATAGCAATATTTGCATTATGTTTAATAGATTTTAATTCAAAATGTTTTTATTCATTTAAAAATCTATATCTGTGCCATTTAATTATCCATAATTAATTAATATTTTCATACATGTCTCACTTTTTCAATTTTTTGACAATATAAAAAAAATTACTCATTTTTCTATTCCCCATGTCAAATTTTCTTTATATCATGTTAAGGTCAAGATCTAGTAAATAACTTCAGACAAAATTTTTGGTGCTAGATCCATTATGACGTCATAATCAATTTCAACTTTCTTTTTCCCGTACTTTACGGCTTTAGCAGATTTATGCAGAAAAAAAGGTATTTTCATGACATTCAATTTGAAATCATATGAAAAGTAAACTGGATACCTATATTAAATTTGATATTGATTTAAAGGAGAGGCCACTAACATACTAATTACTGTTTTCTGAGAGACTGTAGGCAATCTGGATACATTTCCTCTGTCGAATATAAAAAAACTCCAATATTCATGACTGGTTTTCTTAATTTTTCATTAAAAAAGACAGTTTAAAATACAGTTTTTAATCTTGTTCACCTACAAATTATGCCCCGAAACACCTTATTTGACCAAGCTATAGTTGTAAAGCATCAATAAATGAATTTATTTCACAAATCTGATAAATCTGTAGGCACCTTTCATTTACTAGATCTTGACCTTAAGAAATATGAAATGTTCATTTCTGAAAAAGTAAGAAAGGCTTCATACTTCAAACTATTTTCTATTTGAATCCATTGCTATTGTTGTTGATAGCAATCAATATTGAGAATTTGAAAAGTTGGTGAAATTTTGGAGCAGAGGGGTATTTCACTCTGTCTGCATCATTAGAGGTTGACTTGGATGCCATGATGATATATAGTACATTATCAGTTTCAGAGAGGTCTAATATGGATTTAGAAAATCTATAACTGTGACTTACTTATTGCCTTCAGACTTCCCAGAGGTTTTATTGGGTCAGGCTGCTGTTGTCTCATCTCCATGTTCAAGACTGGTCCCTTTGTCACGAGTTCCTTTAGCACTGGTACCAGTGGTTTGCTCAGTCGTCGTAGCTCTTTTATCTTTGAAACATTTTGCCACTATACAACATGATAAAAGAAAAAAAAAACATTATAAATAATTACAAACTGTTCTTCCTGAAATTGTTTACATGTATCTCATTATTCATTTCATTATGACAGATAATATATTTCATTGGTTGATGTGCTCAACAGTCAGTGTTTATTCAAAAATGTGCAGGCTGGGTGAACAAGTTCATTGATATACACATCATTTATAAAAGTTTCAGGCATATACATTCATTTCTTTAAAAAATTTATTTTGCATTTAAGCTGGGATAAATGATAGGGCTGTGCAATATTACCGGTATATCGGTATATTGCGGTATTATCCACAACGATAATATATCGTGATATAAAAATCAGATACCGGTATTTCACGATATTTATAAAAATATATAAAAGCCTCCTTTATTGTAGAAACTGCTGAAATAATACTTGTAACTTCACCAGGCCTTTTCAATATCGTTAAAAAAAATACTTCGTCAACTTTCAGAGGCAGATAGAGAGAAAAAAAGAGAGAGAGGAATTAAGCTTTTCATTCATTGTCGCAAATTTAAATATCTTACTTTAAAATAAAATTAATAATTAATAAAAAGACTTTTAAATAAAATTATTAAGAAAGAAAATATATATATAAAACATTTCTACAGGGTGTATACCATGTTTACTGTGGTTCCCAAAATCTCATGAAATCTACACGATCGACGATGAATGTTAGGTTCAAGATACATATTACAAATAAATGGCCATCAATGTTTTCACTTGATAAAGTGATGCTTTTTATTATTTTTTAACAAGTTTCATGCCATTTTAAATAGTAAACACCTTCATGCTATACCAGGAGCATGTATATTAAAAACAATAAATATAGGCCAATACCGTTCCTGATCGTATGTCATAACATGAAATTAGGTCGTGTCAGACTAAAACACCAAACGCCTGAAAATAGGTCACAATTTCTTTCTGGCTTTAATTTTATTCTGTGACCACATAAACTTTCTATTTAGTATGTATTGTTTTAATCATTAAGTTACATTTTATGCTATTTCAATAAAACAATCCCCCCCGCTCCCCCCCCAAAAAAAACAAAAAAATAAAACAAAGAATATACTATGCATAAACTTTTTTATTCAATTTGAAAATACATCAAATAAGTACATTTTGTTTTGATTTTTTAACCTGGTTTTTGATTAAAAGTTCTTATAATTATGCGTACGATTAATGTCTTTTCCCCCACCCCCTTTAAAATTAATAGATAAATTCAAATAGTCTTTGATGATAAATTCAAATAGTCTTTGAACTTGACAGCATTTTAAACTTTCTGCACAAATTTATTAATATACAATTATGGACTGTTTAGAAGGGAGACATCACGAATTATCAGGTCTGAGTAGGGTAATCACCCGAGGGCTCTTGCGCCCTCGGGTGATTACCCTACTCAGACCTGATAATTCGTGATGTCTCATTTCTAAACAGTTCATAATAGTTTTATTATCCTGAAGAATATACAATTATCAATTAGCTAGAGTAGAAAATAGTAATCAAACCTCTTATTTTCTTCTAATCTGCTCCGATTCCGTATACTTTCAAAATATGTCAAAAGACAACTTTGACGTCATCGTTAGAATTTATTGTTTACCGATCCCGCATATTTAGCCATTGTACTTATGTACTAATAAATAGGAGTTATCTCGCTTGAACCACTGTAGTTTTATTCAAAGGGCGACAACACAGAAATAACCCTGCATGCTTGCTTACGCTATTTCATTGTCATCTGAAGGGAGATAACAGTTGTCTCCCTGCGCGTGAGGGGGACATCACGAGTTGTCTCTTTGCACGTGACCTGCTCTAAACCAATCAGATTCACTGTATAATTCTGAAGGATGATAATGATAATTAATCTACAATATATCGCAATATATTGCATTATTCAAAGTAAAATATTGCAATATATCGCAATATGGTTTTCACTTGCAATACCCAACTCTAATAAATGAGTTTTCTGGCATCCTGCCAAATCAAATTCTATTTTCAGGAAAACTAATTACTTCAAAATATCTTACCTTCGCTTGCATTTGAAAGTAGGTAGAAGTCACTGCAGGTCTCACATTTATTGTATCTGACATTGAACACATAGCAACCATTTTCGTTATTCCATTCTGGGCAGCCTTTTCCATTTATCGGTTTGTCTGGAGCACATCCAACTGCCAGGTCTGATCCAGGGACGACAGGCAAACACACAGCTATTGAACCATTTCCACATTGCAAGTTGACGATGTCAGATTTGTATGTTTCGTTTCCTTTCAAAAAATAAAGCTTTGAAATCGGCTCTTTAGGTGGATCACATTTGGGTTCCTATCAAATAAAACAAAACAATTTTGAGATTGACTGCTTATTTATGTCGCTTGGCATTTCATAGCTGAAGCCCCTTGCATACACCCATGAATTGAAAAAGCTTGAATGTTTATTGAATTTCAGAAATTAACTTTGACAATAACATTAAATATAAAAATTAATTTACATAATGCATATATGGAACTTTACTAAAGACATCAAATTATAGCTTGTTGTTGCTCCTAACAGATGAACTTTGGGTTGTGAATAAATTTATTGACAATCTATTTGATTTTTGGTACCATTTCTATTTAAATCCTACCTGATTTCCCTCAGATTTGCCAATCACTGACGAAGCAAAACATAGTAATAACAGGAGAACCATGCCAATCTTTGATGAAGCAACCCTATTGAACAACTGTAGGAGAGTCATGAATGGTGACAAATCTTGCCTTGGACTATCTGCTCCTCTCATTTTTCCATCCCTGAACTTATTCTTGTTTGTTCCTTTAAAAGACAGATAATAATTATTTAGCACAGAATCATGAATGGTGACAAATCTTGCTTTGGACCATCTGCTCTTCTCCTCTTAAATCTTTCATCCTTGAACTTATTGTTTGTTGCTTTAAAAAATAATTATTAGTTAGCATATAAAATTCATATTATAATTTTAAGTCGAATGTACTTTATATTTCCGACTGTAAAATACTGCTTATAATTGTATTTAATCTTTTTCATTAGATACCAACAAAAGAAAAAAAAGACTGAGAATCTATGTGAATGCATGTGAGATTACTATTGACAACTCAATCTTAAGTGGCTGACTTTGCATTTTTTTTAAAATGCACTATTCATATTTGATAGTACAAGGGTTGTTAGAAAAGTTTGCGGACACAATGATTTAAGGAAAATGTATTGTGTACTGTGAAGTATGAACTATGTCTGATTAAATTCCTATCTTTTGTTTATTAGTATGTAAAAAATCAGGCCCATTTACATAACTTTTGAAAATTTACAAAGATTTTTACTTTGCATGGAGCAATCACTTGACATTAAGTGACATGACAATCAGATTTCAAACACGTTATTTAAGCTTTTTCATAGTTCTAAATATCTTCCATTCTTAGCATTTTCTTTTCTTTTCTATGTCAGCGCAGTTAAGCAATCAGGTAAGAAAGCAATGCAAAAATCTATAGGGCAACATCCATGCAATAAGTGGGGAATTGAGATATAGAAGGAGTTGATCATTGAAAATGTCAATTCTTCCATTCTTATAAAGCTTTTGAAACCATTTGAAAACTTTTGTCCTTTATACATGTAGGTAATTTTCAGCAGCATCTAGAAGCATTTTTAAATTTGTCTCTTTTTGGACATTTTCCTGTCTGCACACATAATTTTTAGTAGCTCGATGCTCCATGATGTTCAATGACTTTTCCATTCTTGGCTTTGTTTTTACATGTTGATTACTTATAAATCGTTATAAAACACTCATATACCCTCCAATTTAATTCAAAATTTCCCAAAGTGACGTTTCATGAATACTGTAGCTGCAGGTAAAATATCATCAATCTTTTTGCACTGCAACTGTCCAATTTTTTAAATATTGATTCATTAAAACTTCTATGTAACGTAAACTTGGCATGTTCCATGAAGCATGTTTTATTAAAATAAAATAGCTGTATATTTTTTATTGATCACTGGAAACACAAAATCTTTTTATATTTAATGGAAAATAGGTAAAGTTTTTATCTGAGGATTTTAACCTGTTTCTTTGACATAGTGCACTCAGAGTAGAACTTGTCCGCGAACTTTTCTGACAACCTTCATATTTCAATGTCAAAATATCATTTGCTATTGTGAGAGTAAAGAAAGGAAAAATGCTAATTAATCATGGGTTTCCTTTCACACTCGAAATTATTCATCTGAACTTTAACAGAAGTTAAGTTATTTCATATTACTGAAATGCACATACCAGGTGTTATCAATGACTTTAGATCAGACAAAGAATTTTTGTCATTGATCGCGTCCTTTTCTTCTATTGGTCTTACATCAGTCCCAGGGTTTTTGTTCGCGTCCTTTCCTTCTATTGGTCCTACATCAGTCCCAGGGTTTTTGTTCGCATCCTTTCCTTCTATTGGTCCTACATCAGTCCCAGGGTTTTTGTTCGCGTCCTTTTCTTCTATTGGTCCTACATCAGTCCCAGGGTTTTTGTTCGCATCCTTTCCTTCTATTGGTTCTACATCAGTCCCAGGGTTTTTGTTCGCATCCTTTCCTTCTATTGGTCCTACATCAGTCCCAGGGTTTTTGTTCGCATCCTTTCCTTCTATTGGTCCTACATCAGTCCCAGGGTTTTTGTTCGCGTCCTTTTCTTCTATTGGTCCTACATCAGTCCCAGGGTTTTTGTTCGCGTCCTTTCCTTCTATTGGTCCTACATCTGTCCCAGGGTTTTTGTTCGCATCCTTTCCTTCTATTGGTCCTACATCAGTCCCAGGGTTTTTGTTCGCATCCTTTCCTTCTATTGGTCCTACATCAGTCCCAGGGTTTTTGTTCGCATCCTTTCCTTCTATTGGTCCTACATCAGTCCCAGGGTTTTTGTTCACGTCCTTTTCTTCTATTGGTCCTACATCAGTCCCAGGGGTTTTGTTCGCGTCCTTTCCTTCTATTGGTCCTACATCTGTCCCAGGGTTTTTGTTCGCATCCTTTCCTTCTATTGGTCCTACATCAGTCCCAGGGTTTTCGTTTGCGTCCTTTTCTTTGGTTGGAAAATATAAGTTAACAGACAAAATTAAAAAGATGTGCAGAAGCTAAAATTAAAAATTAGTTGCCAAAATTTGAAAAACATAGGATTGTCACCAATGGGCATTGCCTAATTGTTTCATTTGTTTGTTGTTTACCATTCCTCTAGAGAATTTTTCACTCATATGGAGAATGTATATAGCGCATAGATTTACTTTTTTAGAAGTCCTGGACACAAAATTACTGTCTATATGTTATTGTGTACCTAAAAAAGCAGACTTCATATTTTAGTGGCTCTGGCGCAGACTGTGATGCGCTTATTCATAATAACCGTTAATAAATGAATGCGATATGAAGTTTTTTTTAGGGATGGCAATCGATTACAGAATTGCTAATCGGTTAATCGCAAGACGTTCCGACCGATTAACCGGTTAGTCGAATCAAGATGTTTATTGTGATGTTTCTACATATACACAAGAAGGCTATAAAACTTTTTAAGACATATTAATTCTAATTCTATTAATTATCTTGATCTGGATGTTTTATGTGCATAAGAGTATATCTTATTATAAATTCTCTATACAAGGAAAAATTAGAAAACCATGAATTTTGCCTGAGAATCCAGACACAGAGATTTTTCCAACGCAGACGTAAAAGGAGTTTATTCTGCATTGTCGCCATGATCAAAACCATGTCTAAACTCTCACTTTACTTACACTGATTTTTCTAATATAACTTAAAAGATAACGGCAAAATATAGACATACTTATTCAAAGTGCTAAATGGTGTTGTTTTTACTATCATTACAAATTCACTTGCAGAGCAGTCTGGATAACAACATGATGTTTTAAAAACAGCAATTAACACTTTACAAACTGACCAATTATCCTGTGACCTCAATCAGGAGAGCTATAATAAATACCGCCAAATTATTTAATTACAAAATATGTAAAAACACTTAATGAAATTTAAGCAGTGGTTTCCTTTCTAAAAAGTGAATTGTAAGAAAATATGACCCAATTTACAGATATATTTTATTTTTTCCGACTAACCGATTACAGATTTTCTAACCGATTAGCATCGTTCTGACCGATTAATCGATTAACCGGTTAAGTATTGACATCCCTAGTTTTTTTCATTTACTTGCTTCGATCTGCCATTTTATCTGGCATTAAACATCGAGCCTGATTATTTATCTATTTCAATCGACAATAAGCCTATATAAATGTACATGTAAATTTAATTCCATGACTGTTTAATGTGACATTTTTTCAAATTAACTTTGAGCATCAATTAAATTTTTAATGGGTAATTAGCACTTATCACTTACACCATTCAGTTCAACTGTGTCGACCTGCCTACTCAATACCGTAAATCTGGAATTTTTTGCTGTAGATAAATTTTTAGCAAATTTGCGAGTTCTTTGTATTCGCAAAAATATTTTTCTTAAAAATAAAATACCAAATGAATAAGAAAATGTAAACAAAGCAGTGGTAATTCGCAAAATTTTGAAACGTAAAAATTAATCAACACCATTTTGACAAGAATTCGCAAAATAAAATTGACGTAAAAATTTCCAGATTTACGGTAGGTGATGATCTGACAAAGTACATTGCACATGCAGTATTAGTTACCCAATACTACTCTAAAATTATTACACATTATTGATCTTCCTAGTCAAGAAAATACTAACTTAATTGTTTTTAATTACTAGTAAATGGTAAATAAATATTCAACACCAAAACAATGACCACACAATAAATACCTTTAGGCTAATTTTAGCCAGGTGGATATGCTAATTGAACACCTATAATCTAAAACGATGTTTAAAATTATTTAGTGCAAGATGTTTAAATTTAACTCAAACAGAAAGACAACAACAAATTTTTTTAAATTATTTTTTAGCGATACATGTGTAGTGCTACTTCATGACTACGCCAAAAACTCCATACCCGATGACTGCGCTAAATTTTGAGAAAGTTAATTTTTGAACACATACAATATTCTCTTTTAAATTAATGGATTATGATATTTTATTGTTATACATGTACGAGACATGTATGTACGAGGGTTGATCCAAAAGTAATGTCACTGTGTCAATATCTTTAATATTTGGTGTCATATTATCAAATATAATGTACCAAAAGATGCATAAACATAAATCTAATCAAAATTGAAAATTTCATTTAATAATGTTCAATTGAATTAATTTTATAGATGTATTAAACATTAAACACAGAGGGTGTGGCCGCGTCACAACTAAATGTCACGTTTTAAAGTAAATATTGTTAGAATGAAAAAAGACAAACACATTTAAAAAAGTATCTAAAAAATCGTCTAACCATCCTATATTTTAAAAGAAAAAATTTTCAACATTTTCTAATCTTTAGTTAAAAATTAAATGGCAGCATTGTTTTTTTTTTCATCATAAACAGTATTGTTTATATCTGATGTATTGCAGAAAGGAAATGTCGAAATAGAATGAAACACAAAAACTAGTTGTAAATAAATGTATTTTACCTTCAAAATTGGGAAATCACAAGAGGAAACAGTTATGATGGTGAATCAAACTCGCAGAGGAAAGAATGTCAACGAGAGACTTGTTCATAGATGGTTTCAGAGATTTTGGGCGGGTAATAGGTAAATAAATGTTCATTTGGGGACAGAAATACCGAAAGATAGGAGGTCGAGTGAAAACGCTCAATGGCGTCGACGTTGTCGTAAACTAGATTTGTGGCAGTCTGAGTGATATGAGACACTTTTAAGTTTGTCTTATGGTATTGTTCAAAGAATTTTGATGAAGGATTAAATTATAGATAAACTGTACAATTAGTGCCAATTGTTCTTAAAGAAAATATGTGAATGTTTTGTGAATTTCATTTTTTTTAATAAAACAATGAGAGGGCCTTTTTAAAAGTGTGTGACAGCGCATATCCGTTTTATGATGTTATTTAGGTGCGGGAACTAGCTACCATAATCGCACTCTGTGTTTAATTCGATATTTTGAAAAGTGTAAGTCATTTTATTTTGAATTTTTCAGTACTGATCTAAAGTTATATAACTTCCATCATGTAAAATTTTGTTAATTTACGTCAAGTAGGAGAAATTTTATCGAAGTTGTGACATTACTTTTGGATCAACCCTCGTATACAACTTTTCTTGTTGTCAGTGAAAGCTCTTTATAAATAAAATTTAAAAAAATATTTAAAAGATGGCAAAATTCTTACATACCTCCAAGCACTTTGGATGGAATTGGATTCTTGGTTCCAATCAGTGTTATGGTGCACTTAAAGGAACTTATTCTTATGAATGGACCCCTAGCTATTAAAAAGGAAAAAAAAGGTGAGTAAGCTCACATACCCCACAATTGCTTGACAATACTTAGTACACAGAATGAATGATAATGATATACATTACTAACATACATCAAATAAGTAGCCCCCCCTCCACCCTTTTTCAATCCTTTTTACAGATGTTTGTCACATTTGAATACAGATCTGTTTGTGATCCGGAGGTGCACTGAAGAAACATTTTCAGGCATTAAAACAGCTTCTCTTTAAGAAACAAGGTATCATTTAAAACATCTATCGGGTTATAAATACGGGTTGGTCACGAGATTAAATTCCATAAAGCCCGAAGGGCTTTATGGTGAATTTAATCTCGTACCAACCCGTATTTATAGCCCGATAGATGTTTTTAAATGATACCTTATTACTTATATTTTACATTTATGACTTACTCATACTTTAAATTTGCCTGATAGTGACTTTTAACGTGTGAACTGCGTTATTTTTCAAACCCAACGGCATGTATGTAATCTACTGAACGCGCGTCGACCCTTTATGACGTCACAGAAAAATTACATCAAACATTTATCTATACGCACATCTATGACCTCTTGACCCCGTACTTGTGTTTATACAGTTATAGATACGCATTGCTTTCAGTAGTGTTATATAAAGGAAAACATTTGCAAATGTAAATATTCATAATTAAATAAGCTAGGTTATATGATGCACATGCTAGCTAGACCTTCTCCCCAAAGTTTATACACAAAACAGTATATTGTGGCCCAACTTATAATTTCAAAAGGGGCATAACTCCTAAAAAATAAATTGAATCAGAATTTCTTGTGAACAAGAGGCCCACGGGCCTTATAGGTCACCTGAGTATTGTGCAACAATTTTCAAACAATTAAATTTGGTTCGTGTCTTTAACCAGAGGCCATGAAATTCACAATTTTGAAAGAGGCACCATTGCTTATCATAATTAAAGACTTAGCATGCTTACTCTATTTGTAATACGTAATATCCAGAGGAAGATCAGAGTAACATTAACATAAGAGAAAATGCACTTCCACTTTATAACCAGTTGTGCACCTCATCCCAAAGGAACCACTGAACCTGGGGCCACATATTTCAAAATTGTGCAAATTTTATCATAAAATGGTTGATTAATACCAAAGAGCAGATTTCAAAGCATTAATTTATTTTCAGACTTTGTACCCCCCCCCTCACCCCCGACCCAAGGGGGGGGGCATAAAAAAAAAAACAATTTTGCTAGATGCAACTTTCTTCATCATAAATATATATACTTGGATCATTGGCATAAAACCCAGGAGCAAAGGAAAGATTTCAAAGAATAAATGCATTTTCACTATAAAACCAATAGAGCCCCGCCCTAACACCAGAACCCCTGACCCTGGGGTAATAAAATTCATAATTTTGGAAGAGGCACTCTTGCTCATCATAACTATGTGCTTGGATAGTTTATTTCATACCCAGGAGCAGAGAAGAAGATTTTCAAAGAATTAATGCATTTTCACTATATAATCAATAGGGCCCCACCCTAACACCAGAACCCCTGTCCCTGAGGCCACAAAATTCACAATTCTGAAAAAGGCACTCTTGATCAACATAACTATGTACTTAGTTAGTTTATTTAATACCCAGAAGTATAGAAGATTTTCAAAGAATAAATGCATTTTCACTATAAAACCAATAGAGCCCCGCCCTAACACCAGAACCCCTGACCCTGGGGTAATAAAATTCATAATTTTGGAAGAGGCACTCTTGCTCATCATAACTATGTGCTTGGATAGTTTATTTCATACCCAGGAGCAGAGAAGAAGATTTTCAAAGAATTAATGCATTTTCACTATATAATCAATAGGGCCCCATCCTAACACTAGAACCCCTGTCCCTGGGGCCACAAAATTCACAATTCTGAAAAAGGCACTCTTGATCAACATAACTATGTACTTAGTTAGTTTATTTAATACCCAGAAGTATAGAAGAAGATTTTCAAAGAATAAATGCATTTTCACTATAAAACCAATAGAGCCCCGCCCTAACACCAGAACCCCTGACCCTGGGGTCATAAAATTCACAATTTTGGAAGAGGCACTCTTGCTCATCATAACTATGTGCTTGGATAGTTTGTTTAATACCCAGGAGCAGAGAAGAAGATTTTCAAAGAATTAATGCATATTCACTATATAATCAATAGGGCCCCACCCTAACACCAGAACCCCTGACCCTGGGGCCACAAAATTCACAATTCTGAAAAAGGCACTCTTGATCAACATAACTTTGGACTTAGTTAGTTTATTTAATACCCAGAAGTAGAGAAGAAGATTTTCAAAGAATAAATCCATTTTCACTATATAACCAATAGAGCCCCACCCTAATACCAGAACCCTGACCCTGGGGTCATAAAATTCACAATTTTGGAAGAGGCACTCTTGCTCATCATAACTATGTGCTTGGATAGTTTATTTAATACCCAGGAGCAGAGAAGAAGATTTTCAAAGAATTAATGCATTTTCACTATATAATCAATAGGGCCCCACCCTAACACCAGAACCCCTGACCCTGGGGCCACAAAATTCACAATTTTGGTAGAGGCACTCTTGCTTATTATATCTATGTACTTAGTTAGTTTATTTAATTCCAAGAAGTAGAGAAGAAGATTTTCAAAGAATAAATGCATTTTCACTATAAAACCAATAGAGCCCCGCCCTAACACCAGAACCCCTGACCCTGGGGTAATAAAATTCATAATTTTGGAAGAGGCACTCTTGCTCATCATAACTATGTGCTTGGATAGTTTATTTCATACCCAGGAGCAGAGAAGAAGATTTTCAAAGAATTAATGCATTTTCACTATATAATCAATAGGGCCCCACCCTAACACCAGAACCCCTGTCCCTGGGGCCACAAAATTCACAATTCTGAAAAAGGCACTCTTGATCAACATAACTATGTACTTAGTTAGTTTATTTAATACCCAGAAGTATAGAAGAAGATTTTCAAAGAATAAATGCATTTTCACTATAAAACCAATAGAGCCCCGCCCTAACACCAGAACCCCTGACCCTGGGGTCATAAAATTCACAATTTTGGAAGAGGCACTCTTGCTCATCATAACTATGTGCTTGGATAGTTTGTTTAATACCCAGGAGCAGAGAAGAAGATTTTCAAAGAATTAATGCATTTTCACTATATAATCAATAGGGCCCCACCCTAACACCAGAACCCCTGACCCTGGGGCCACAAAATTCACAATTCTGAAAAAGGCACTCTTGATCAACATAACTTTGGACTTAGTTAGTTTATTTAATACCCAGATGTAGAGAAGAAGATTTTCAAAGAATAAATGCATTTTCACTATATAACCAATAGAGCCCCACCCTAATACCAGAACCCCTGACCCTGGGGTCATAAAATTCACAATTTTGGAAGAGGCACTCTTGCTCATCATAACTATGTGCTTGGATAGTTTATTTAATACCCAGGAGCAGAGAAGAAGATTTTCAAAGAATTAATGCATTTTCACTATATAATCAATAGGGCCCCACCCTAACACCAGAACCCCTGACCCTGGGGCCACAAAATTCACAATTTCGGTAGAGGCACTCTTGCTTATCATATCTATGTACTTAGTTAGTTTATTTAATTCCAAGAAGTAGAGAAGAAGATTTTCAAAGAATAAATGCATTTTCACTATAAAACCAATAGAGCCCCGCCCTAACACCAGAACCCCTGACCCTGGGGTCATAAAATTCACAATTTTGGTAGAAGCACTCTTTCTTATCATAACTATGTGCTTGGATAGTTTATTACATACCCAGGAGCAGAGAAGAAGATTTTCAAAGAATTAATGCATTTTCACTATATAATCTATATAGCCCCGCCCTAGCACTAGAACCCCTGACCCTGGGGCCATGAATTTCACAATTTTGGTAGAGGACTCAATGCTCATTACATTCATGCCATCAGTTTGCCTGCTTGATGTCCAGGAGTAAAGAAGAAGATTTTTAAAGATTGCAATAATTTTAGTGGTTTTGGCCCCACCCCTCAGGCCCCAGGGGGGCGGGGACCATAAAATTCACAATTTTTGTTCCCCTTCACCCATAGATGCTGTATACCAAATTTGGTTCAAATTGGTTCAGCGGTTTCAGAGAAGAAGCTGAAAATGTTCAATTGTTAACACACGACGCACGACACACGACGACGGACGAAAACGGATAGCAATAGGTCACCTGACTTACTCAGGTGACCTAATAAACTGTTAACCTGGAAATTTTGGACGATGTGCTTATTTGACTGTATTGACCATTTTTCTTTTCTCATCAGAATTTACACACATCAAACTTTAAATCATATATAAAGCGTCACAACAGACATTGACCATTGTACAACTTTACCACTTAAGCGCTTTTCACAGCTTTCCTTTATTAGAACTACATCAAAGTCACTGTTAATTTCTTTTGTTATTAGGCCATGCAAAAGTAATTACTTGGTTCTCAGGCCTTTTTTCAAGAAATATAATGAGGGAGGGAGGATTTTTTTTTCTTTTTTATTGCCCCCAAAACATGATGAGGCAGCTTTTTACATTGTACAAAAACCTCAAAAAATGATGAGGGAGGTGATTTGGTGTTTAGATTTTATTGAATTAGCAATAAAAAGGGTCAATGAGGCACCCTTGGAAGAGATGAGGAAGGGCCTGAGAACCAAGAAATTAATTTTTTTTGCCTTAGTTATGAAAACAAAGTGATATATATAATCTCCTTTTTATTAATTATTGAATCTTAACTAGTGTATCAAATACTGCATGACATTGTGTAATTTAGTGTAATTATCACGCCGTGCTTGACTTAGCTTGCCACCTCATTCATTAAAGAAATTACAAGAGGCCAATTTATTTAATCAAATCTTACACATGCTGATACATGTAGTTTGAACAAAAATTAAATTAACGTGATCCTGACTCTGCCTTTGTATCCCCGTGAATTCAAAGATTTGAAACTCTTGATTAAATATTTCTTAAAAATTAACACTCGTCAATTTTCGTAAACAAAAAATCGTCAATTTTAACTTGTCAATATTACCACATTTACAGTACATGTCTACACAGTATGCCCCTATTAACTACAAAGTTTCATGAAATTCTGTTTAGCTATTTGAAGTATTTCCAAGGAGATCTTTAAATTAAGAATTAATGATAGTTTTTCTTTTTCTTCTGCAGACGTACTTTTTTCCACGGGGTCATAATTCCGCGGAATCTCAATTTCTGTTCAATCCACAGGTAGAAAATTATGCGGATTTCTTAGACTGTCACTATATGCCTTACATTTATATCAAGTACACTTGGACATATTTCAGCAGAAAATTGGTAACCGCGTACATAGCATAAATTAATACCAGTCGGAAAAAAGTACTTCTAAAGTATTCTAATTTTTTTTAAACTTATATAAAAACTAGTATGTGCATACTTCTTTTCAAAGACCATATCTCCATTGCCATGGACTGTTCTCTTTCAGAATGACTTGATATCTTCACAACACTGATTTCATTTAAGTCTTTTAGATCTGTGGCAGTCTCAAACTTGCTCTACAAAAAACAAATTTGGCATGAGAGTGTATTCATATTTGACTGTAAATACTAAACAGAAGATTTAAACTGCCTTTCACAAGTCAAAGAGTTGAAGTATATTTTGTATATAAATATTGAGCTCGGAAGACAACAAAAACTTTCTGAAAACATTCCATGTTGTGCAGTATTTTTTTTTTTTAATGTCATTAAAATCAATGTAATCTTTCCCTTTCACTCTATTACCACCCACCCCAACCACTGAGGATGTTACATTGAAGAAGATTGAGTAAATGGTATACACGGTAGAAGCAGAAGCTTGTTTATATTTAATATCATAATACCAAATCTCTCTAAGATATATCCCAATAATTTATTTATTTTTAACTGTGTAAAACTCATAGATTCTTAACCAGTGCAAGTTGGCTTTCAATTTTTTTTCAAACTCTCATTTCTTAATTTTTTATATTTTGAAAAGATACAAGGCTTGTGTAGTGGCTCTTGAAAATAAAAAAAAATTAAGGAATGAGAGTTTGACAAAACTGGTTACTAAAAAGGACTGTTTATATGGGGCAAAACTTCCCTTTATACAAGCAAGGCTACCTATCCTGTTAATATATAAAATATTCCTGAAATATCTGTTGAATGAAATATACAAGGGAGTACAAGAATTCAAAAATTGTAATCAGAATCACCCTAGGTGTTTCATAACACATATGTCAAATAAGAAGAAAGGCCAACTGCACAGGAGTGGTGAAACACACTCAGTTAAAAATGAGAGTTTATTTTTGTAGACTACATGTAGTTACAATTAATTTTATAATTTTTTTGATAAAAATAATTTTTTTAAAAAATGGCTGATCCTTGGGAAATAGACTTGCTCTTGGGGAACTGAAATCTTGCTAACTCCCTCAATGATATACGAGGGTAGATCCAAAAGTAATGTCACAACTCTGATAAAATTGCTACTAGTCAAGGTAAATTAATGAAATTATTCATGATCGAAGCTATATTGATTACAAATCAGTCCTGAAAAAATCAAATAAAAATTATTTATACTTTTCAAAATATCGAATTATATACAAAATGCAATTGTGGTAGTCGCCTCACATAGATAAAGTTATATGATGGATGCGCGCCGTCAGTATTACATTTTTGAAAACGCTTCCCCTTCATTCCATTAAAAATATCTGAGATTCACAAACACATTCACATATATTTCTCTTTTTAAAAGAATTATTGGCACCCATTGTACACTCACTCTATACATAATTTAGTTCTCTGTCAAAATTCTTTGTACAGCACCATAAGACAAACTTTAATTTTTCTCATATCGCGCTCTTTTTGGACAACGTCAGACACCACTGAATGTTTCCGCCCAACATCCCATCTTTCAGTCATTCTGTCCTCTGCTGATAACTCAATGACCCATGACATGCTAAAAATTACTGAAACCATCTATGAACAAGTTTCTTATTTACATTCTTCTTGCTAAGTATCTGATAAATCGTTGTAACTATCTCTAAGGGCGATTTCACCATTTTGAAGCAAAAACGCATTACAGATCGTTTTAGCAGTTTTCGACATTTCCTTTGTTCAATACAGCTGATTAAAACAACTATGTTTATGATCAAAAAGCAATGACATCATTTTAGTTTCAAGTTAAGACTAGAAAATGTCGTAAAAATTTGCCTTTTAAAATATTGGGCAATAAGACACTTTTTTAAATGCTTTTTAATCATGTTAATGTGTTTGTCTTTTTTTCATTCTAATAATTTACACTTTAAAACTTGACGCGGCGACACCCCTTATATTTAATATTTTAAACTTCTATAAAATTCATTTAAGTAAACATTATTAAATGAAACTTTTAATTTCAATTAGATTTATTTTCATGCATCTTTTGGCATATCATATTTGATAATATGATGCCAAATATTAAAGATATTGACACAGTGACATTACTTTTGGATCAACCCTCGTACTTTAACTGAGTGTATACTGAAAGCCATTCACAATCTTACCATCAAAACTAGTCCAGAAGAAATGTTTATATCTAAAATGCATGCACTGTAAGTTGGATCAGTGGCCATGGAGGATGGGCATTCTTCTGTTGTAACCACAGTGGTATAGTTTTATAGCAATATAGTTTTTCTTCTAAAAAAAAAAATAGTATCAATGAAAGACCATAAAGGGGCCCAGGGCACCATGCAAAAAATTTAGATCCAAACAGACCCCTTTCCTTTGACATATTTTGTTTAGGAGTTATTCCCCCCTAGCTGCCATCTTGTAGGGCAACATTGCCAGATCATTTTATTATTTAACAAATTTCAATTTGTTATACTGGTTACTGATGTAAAGATAACAGTATTATTTCTTGTATAAATATATATTTTGTTAAAGCCTCTATTAATTCATGACTATAAGATTCTAATACCCCCCCCCCCTATATTTCTTGCATGCATGTTTAAAATTGGTTGCTCAAAGAGGGGAATTCACTACTTTGCCCTATAAGATGACAGCTAAGGGGAATAACTCCTAGGCAAATTTGTCATAGGAAAAGGTTCTACACTATAATCAAATTTTATTTGTTCTGGAGTTTTGTAGTTTTACATAGCTGTTTGTAAGAGTTAGCCCAAAAACCCTTTAGTCAACATCCTCATTCTTGACTCTGCCAAGTGTTTAGAAATGCAATTTCCCAATGATAAGCTGGAAAAACAAATATGTTTTGAATGATTCATTAATGGAAACTTAATAAAAAAGAAATTTTTTTTTTGTTTGCATGGGTTAGCTACATCTTATACACAAGAGACCCATGGGCCACAATGCTTTTATGGTAAACAGTTACCGAAGTCACTTTATCCAGATGTTCTGCATCTGACTTTTTCCCAATGATTTTTTTTTTAAAGTGGACCCTCACCCCACTTGACTTATAGGGGTGTCTTGATTTAAACCAAAAAAAAAAGGAACACTGTCAGGAATTGCTTCAGAATCCATACTGGTATTAATACATTCATCATGGATTTGTTTTTCTTGTGAGAGAAAGTTTTAAAAACTTTCATTATAATATCCCTAATTTGGCCCCAGTAAAGCCCTTGGGCCTTTTCCTAAATATATTTCAAAGAAAACTTGATGGAAGGTTTTTCAGTGATATTATTATACACTCAAACTGTTAATCAATTAGTCTATCATCCATGTTTAAAGCTGCTTGGTCAATGTTTACAAAGTTAACAAAGTTGAAAGAATTACACAGAGCAAAGTCAAATGATGGGTGCAAATTTATTACAATGTATTATTTCTTCATGACACTAATAAAGAGTTATGTTTAGATGCAGAGCAGAAAATTCCCTAGATGTCAACATATCTGTTAAATTCAGTCTCTGTTCTTTGAACTGTGAATATACATCAAGATACGCAGGTTAGTCAACAGTACCAAAGTAGACATTTTAAAGGTTTTTTAGTTGCATTTCATTTACAAAAGTGAATATTCCCATGAACTTCGACCTTTCATGCTTGCACATTTCTCATTAAGTGCTAACATTCTCCATAAATCAAAGTACTGAAAGCACTTATGGAAGTTGAACATGGTGTAAATAAAATCTTTGAACATGAGGTTCAGTGAGTGAACAGTTTTATTATTTCAAATACAGACAACTGTTTCACATTTTTTGAGTTGCAACAATCTTGATCGAGAAAGACATTCAGAGACATTGAATAGCAAAAAATGCATGGGCCATAATGCTTGCCTGCCTACATTAGTCCTTTTTTATACCCCCTGCTTGAAAAGCGTGAGGGTATTTATTAATCGGGATTTCCGTACATCTGTTTGTTACGCTTTAGGCAGGGTTTCAGATTGGCGTCGGCCATCGGCCATTTGTCGATAAAAATTCAAAATGGCAGGAAAAAATCATATTCATCTGCCAAAATGGCCTATAAGTTTAACATTGAACAGACATAATGGCCGATTTACTTCTCTATGTAAAGGCCAGTCCCCATTCAGATCCGATTGTTTTTTCTGCAACTGCAGATTGATTCAATCAGCCAATGACATTTTGGCATTAGATTCTGACAAAATATACATTGTACTTGATTTTATTTCCAAATCCAAGTGCAATGAGCATAAAAGTAGTGATGAATATTTAAAACATCGAAGGAATCCATGTCATGTTGTTATTTTTACCTCCATGCTAGAACATGAGGTCGGGCTAATAACAGGAAGCAGACAATATTGTAAGGTTTTACTATGCAAAGGAAAACATTTTTAGTCTAGGCAATCTGTAACCTTAATCATACATATGATGAGAAATACAGGTCTAATTTCTGGATAACAATTCTAAAACTCGCAATATTAAGAAATAAATACATGACTGTACATGTAATGAAAGGTGGGACTAATATCAGTAAAACACCCATTGAATGGAATTAGGCCATAGTTTTTTTATTTTCTGTTTAACGGGAAGCGCCGACCCAATTTTTTCAAAACACGGAATAAAAATAAAACAGGTCAATTTCACTTTTATTTTCAAAATACCCGCCGACTGTGTCATTCAATGATGGTTTGAAATAAAATCGGGTTTGATGTACACCTTATTTCTAAAGAATCGTGTAAACGTTTGACAAAGCCTGTGTTAATCAAAGTCTTTTACGAGCGTCTTGATGATTACGATGTCGTAACCAGTAACTAGTTTATCACACTTCGCGGGTTCTATCAAGTTATCAAGAAGCAAGAATGTCATTTCAAGACATTAATAGACGGTTAATTTAAATCCATTTATGATAAAAACAAGCAAGTTCTTGAAATGGGAGTTAAAGCATTGACAACCTAAATACACCATGTGCACATTGAACTGTGGAGCATGTGTCCAAATAGTTGGGGTAAGTTTTGGGACGTTGTCTTGATATAAACTTTCTGTTAAAATTTATTAGTGTTTAGCACTTTTATGTTTTTTTTTTCTTTTAACATGTTTAAAGATGTTTGCATTCTAGATTAATTTAATCACATATGGTACATAACAAGTTGAGGTAAAATTCGCGGCAAAATTTTATTTTACAATGAATCGTGTCTAACTATATCAGGGACATAAAATGATGATTAAAATATTTTAGATACGAGTCCATGTTTATTTGGTTGAATAAAATGAGGCTAGGATTCCTGCAGAATTAAAAGAGTTGGTATAAAATACTGACAAGCGAAGTGACAGCTATATTGGAGTTGCACATATCCTGTGGAAAGGTAAGGATAGAAAGAAGTGGACAATTGAATACTTTAGTGCAAAATGGACAAAGAACGATACTATTGTTATTTATTTTTATCTTTTAAGAAAAAACTCTTAAAATATTTGTATCTTCATTTAGAAAAGAAAACAATCTCATGTAAATAGTTGTTTTTTTCTACTTTCTACCATTTACTACATGAATTTGATTAGCTAATAAAGTACCGTATATACTCGCCTATAAGTCGGTTTTTTGGGAGTTAATCTCTGGTCTTAAACTCTTTGTCCGACTTATAGGCGAGCTATTAAAAGTATGGTTTTATATGAGGTCAGTCCATCTGGTATACAAGCTAATTAAATACAACCGACTTATAGGCGGACCGACTTATAGGCGAGTATATACGGTATCATAAAGGATTTTTTTTTTTTGCAGTTTGATTTCTTGGCAGAGACCCAGCGATTTGTGACGAGTTCAGAAGACTTTCACGAGGACTTGGCTGTTGTTCATCAAAAAGTTCAGCTGACATATTTCCATTCAGAACCTCAAGAATGTGTTATCCCTTTATACTAAGATAGCATTGTCAAGTTAACTATCAACCCCACTGCTTTTTTTTTCAACTTCTGTTAAATCCTAATATATATGTAGCTTAAAACATTTGTCATGACTTTTATAAATTTTATACAATAGTTAGATGATCACTTGAAGACCTGTGTAAAATTTTAAGCAGTGTGGTTTTTTCTGTCATCTGCGTTTATCCAACATTATTGTTGCTGTATAACAAATGTAAATTATATTATATTGATTTGCTTTCATACTAGAAAAAATTTGCAAGTGTGATTAACCACAGTAGGATAACTCATGCAGTTGTATTTAAAATCCTAATACATTGTAAACAAAATTCTAATGCAATTGTTTTGTTAAACACTTTTTCATTGGCTAATGCACTGATGTTTGAAGCAGTAAAATGAGCATTAACGAGCGTGAAAGCTTTTTCATTGTGACGTCATAATAGAGCGACGCAAAAACACAATGCTCCGTGACGTATTTCATGTAACAAAATTCATCAAAATAAGACATAAACAACAAACAAAATGCATGGATTGCATTAGAATGGGAATAACTGATCTTCTAATTTGGTATTTGCGACCGTTAATGCTGATTTAACGCTTACGCGTCGCCGGTAAAACTCAGTTTGCGACCGTTAAATCAGCATTAACGGTCGCAAATACCAAATTAGGAGATAGTTATTCCCTAATTGTATTGTGTTTGCTTTCGTTTTTCAACATTTAAATGAAAAAAAAAAATTCATACCAATTATTGGTTTTATTTTTAATATGGCCCCGACTCGACAAATTTTGATCTTTTATTTTTATTTTTATTTCGTCCCCTCGACCCAATTTTTTCTGAAAAATTCCCGTTAAACAGAAAATAAAAAAACTCTGGCCTTAAATAAAAAAGAATTCCCATTCTGTTTCAATAAATTGATTTTGTTTAAAAGAAACAAAATATTATTTTCTACTTTATTAAAAAGAATAATTGATAAACATTTTTGATTATTTTATGTTTACGAAGTAAATGATTTTTTTTCACAAAAGTCTGTGAGAAATCTGAATAAGTTTAACTTTTCTATTGGCCTATAGTTTTAGGAACTTAAGGACAGAATGGCCTATAACTTTTCTGGTAAATATGCCATATGTCCTATAGTTACTTAATTTCAATCTGAAACCCTGTTTAGGTATACCCATCTCTTATCCGCAACTCCTCTAACACCACTGAACAAAATTTTCATAGAATCTCTATTACTTATTGCCGTTGTGCACCTTGTATTATTACTTTAATTTTCATCCTACACATATTTTGGGTTTCCCATTGCAAAACATGGACACTGCCATTATATTCATATTAGATCATTTATCATTTATATCACTGCTCACAGTCTTCAAATTTGTACTATATTTTTCCTTTGCACTTTTACCCATGTGTTATGAAAAATTCAGTTTCGCAGGAATAATATCAATGTTGATAAAATGTGGATTTTAACACAGCATCCTTTTAATAGCTAATGGGTTTGTTATATAAAACATCGATATCTCTATAAATAAAAATCAGTGTGCGAAATTAACGCCTGACCGATAGTCCGAATCTATCCCAAGTTGACTCAAGCTATGCCGATCTGAATTTAAAAAGACCGAATTGTCTATCCCAATTTTGGCCATGGGTAAATTCAGATTGAATAGAGACATATTATACATTTGTACATCTCTGGATTGAATAAAAAATCAAACATGTGGTTTAACAAAAATAATTCTGAGACATAGTTTTATATTTTGTATATTTTGTGTTAAAGTATTATTATTAAATCTCAAAATTCAGAAAACTGCGTATCTTTCAAGAAATAAACGAAGATTGTGTACTACTTTTATCCGATGCTGGCTTCCTGTTGCACATCTGTCGTAGCAAATTCTGGCCGCTGCTTACTGGATAGAAGCGTGACATTAAACACAAAGTGAATTTTATAAAGTCAAAAAAATGGAAAGCAGCTAAGATAATTTAAGAGTTTGTGTCCTTCACAAACATAAACTTGTCTGTAGAATGAAGTTCATATGCAACGAATCTGAAAATAAACACGGCACATATTTTTGTGATGCACGGACATCGATTTTATATTTTATTTTGACAAGGTAATAATGAGAATGTAACAGATACATATACTTCATCAATAAAATGCATGCGATTAGAAATGTATACCTGTATATATAAACGAAAAAGTGTGTACAGTCAAATGAATATTTAATACATGAATATAAAAACGAGCGCATTTTTTTTCGTGTCCACTTTTTTGTTTGTGATTTTACGGAGAGTCCCATTTCTCTAAGGTCTATCCCACTTTAAAATGAGAAAGTCCGGTGGGCTATCTCATTCTTCTGGTTAGTTTCGCACACTGAAAAATGTATTTCAATTACACAAACATTATACATGGAGTACGTCAGAACTTAATCTTTTTTAATATTGTGAAGAAAAGGGCAATACAAAGTTAAAAACAAATATTTATTGACAGAACATAAAAACAGTGGTATATGTGAGAGTTTGTGTGCGTACAAATTATCTGGTATGTAAAAGAGGTTTTCCTTAAATATAAAAAAAATATACTTCATTTTGTTGTTTTTAATCGGATTTTACGAAAACATCGGTGTCCGTTTTTGGTTTTAATATTTATAACAGAGTACTATAGTTTTACTGCTTTTGGCAGTTGATACTGCTGATTTAGTAATAAATACGCATGTTTCCTAAAGTTTTTATGCATTAATGAATTCATTTAAACCAAGAAAATGTTCGTGAAAAGTTTGAATAAGACTAAATTTACCGTTTGCCATCAGTATGTAGAGTTGTCGTTCGTATCTCTTTCAATGTATGACGCTACACTTAAAATGAGTTCCATTATGAAAAACTTTCAATGCTCTAAAAATATAATTTAGTTTTACATATGTACTGTACTTTGAACGAAATCTAATATTCAAAATAAGATTACTTTATCATTACATTTACTTACATTAATTATGAAAATTAGATTAATTCAGGAGAAAATGACATGAACTATTTGTGGCGGATGTTTAATATGCATGTTTTCTGTTGAATATCATCGGAGTAAATCGGCCGACACAGTAGCCTCGCTTTTGGCTCTATATAATCAACACAAATTACTGCGCATGTCAAATACGGGATGACCATGGGAGATTGAACATAGTTCAACTCCCAAATATACTGGTATGAAGCACCATGAGCCATATGTTCAAAAGAATTTGAAAAATATAATTTATGTTGTAAATACCTTGCATCTCCTCTTTCTCCATTGAGCCTCTTCTCTTCATGCGCCTTAGAAGCAGTGTAACATCCATCATGATGCACCCATTTTCCAGATTGTCTATACTCATCCATGACCGCTCAGGACCTTCAATATCTGCAATCTCACTGCATGGAAAGGAAAAAAAATTTATTTCTTTAAACACTCAAATTATTTAAGCTTTATTAAATATCATGATACAATTTTTTAGACTGATCCCAAAGAAGTTTTGTATGTTCCAAAGAAATCAATGTCCAAAACGAAAGGGATATACAGAAAAACTGTTACAGTTGTTTTTAACATGTATTGTACAAGTACATGTATGTGAAATCACATTATTTCAAGCTAAATACATGATCCTATACAGTTGAACTTCGGTATCTGGAACAACGATATCTCGATTCGATGGATATGTCGAAGTAATTTGGAAGTCCCAACCTCATATTCTTTAAGTATTTTACTTTTGATATCTCGAATCCTCGGATATCTCAATTTTTTTTCTCAGTCCAATCAGGTTCGAGATAACAAAGTTAGACTGTATTTTTTCACCTTTTCCACTGTAGATTCCAGTGGAATAAAATACAACCCAAACAGACTATCATGGACTATTCTGTCCAATTTAAGCAAAAGAATGCATGGTCTTTTTATATAATGCTTTTTATATAATCTTTTTAGGAGGAATATCTTTACATCTAACAATTAAAAAAATGCTCTCATGATATTTCATCAGACCAACAATATTGCAGAACGACACATATCGTAAACTCCTTAAATATTATGATAATATAACATAGTTACACTGAAATTGGCGTATCCACGTTCCATGTTACTCCTGATGTCATTTTCGTGCCTGAAATGGATGTAAATCAATAAAATCCCATTCATATAATCTGACTGACATCGTTATATTATTCATATGTTATATCATCACAAATGCAGGGCTAACAACCCCCCTCCCCTTTGAGACTAGGGCCAGGGTCAAAGATGGTAACTGTGGGGAAAATAAGCCATTTTAATGAGAAAGGATGCTCAGAAATTAAGAACATAATGATGATGAGCCACAGGGTCATGCTTAATGGGTCTAACAATCAGAATCGAGAGCCCTGGATCATATTGTCTAGATATTATGCCAAAATACAAATTTTACCGAAAAATTCTGTAGTTATGGATACTTACCTTTATCATAAGTCTTCCACTTGGTCTGAATATAATGGGACCTTCTCTGTGGCTTCTGTAGGGAAAGTTGAGACCCCACAGATCTGGTTTCCTTGGGAGTAGCAACAACCTTAAAAAAATGAAATGTATCCATAAATACATAAACAATAATCACTTGGGGTTTTTTTTCATCGTGTTTATTGTGGTTAATTTATAATATATCAGTTTATTTAAAAAATATATATAAGTTGATATCAAAAATTAAATTATGAAAACTTGAGGCAGTTCCTTTTCTTCTTCATTAAAATAGAGTAATATTGCAATTAAATTTTAATAAGATTACACAATAGTTACCTGTTCTACATCTGGAGATGCATGAGGTACATCCACAGACTCCTAGGGTACATCTACAGACTCCTGGGGTACATCCACAGACTCCTGGGGTATATCCACAGACTCCTGGGGTACATCTACAGACTCCTGGGGTACATCCACAGACTCCTGGGGTATATCCACAGACTCCTGGGGTACATCCACAGACTCCTGGGGTACATCTACAGACTCCTGGGGTACATCTACAGACTCCTGGGGTACATCCACGGACTCCTGGGGTACATCCACAGACTCCTGGGGTACATCCACAGACTCCTGGGGTATATCCACAGACTCCTGGGGTACATCCACAGACTCCTGGGGTATATCCACAGACTCCTGGGGTACATCCACAGACTCCTGGGGTACATCTACAGACTCCTGGGGTGCATCCACAGACTCCTGGGGTACATCCACAGACTCCTGAGGTACGGCTGGAGAGTGAGGATCATTGGCACTTGCATCTGTGGGCACCACCTCTTTCTTGGGCTCTGATTGAACAGTGTGGGTCACCATCACAGAAACAAGTGGAATCTGAGGATTGAAATGTGATAATGTAATATTTCTTAAGTCCAAAACTGAATTGAATAATGATTAAAAAAGTAATAATAAAACAGTCATAATATGGGTATGCAATATCAATTATATGGGATGCTAAACCGTGTAAATGTATAAGGCTACCAAATTGAAAATCATTCTAGTTAAACCATCATGTAATATTTTCCGCCTAAAATCAAGAACTCAGATGTAATCAAAGTACTGAAAGTACTGGGAAGCGCTAAGCATATTGATTTGGAATTCGTCAGAATTATTTCAATTTAAAATTACTGATGTAATGAATTCTAAGCAATATTTTGACAGTACGATAGCGCTAGGTCGAGCACAGTTTTCAAAAAGTATGAGTCTTGAATATGTGAACCCCGTTGGAATATGAAATTAAATACTGTCTCATGCCTTTTTTTTCAAGCATTATACATAATCTTCGTATGTCAAAAGATCAATCAATTTCACTTACAGTACTATACAAGAAATTGCAAGAAAATATTTTTCCGTGTAAAATTTTCTTTCGAGATGGTAATCGAGTTTTCCGATCAAATTTAAACTCTAAATGTACATGTAGCTATACTGTCTTCCCACATTTTTTTTTATTAAAATAGAAAATTTGGTGTTAACCAATCAAAATTGTGGGAAGACAATACTTTTGCTGGAAAATGTATGCATTGTATTTGAAAAAAATGTTAACACTTGAAAATGTCGCTTAAATTCCTCACATTTACGAGCAACACTGAAAGATAAAATTTTCTGGTGATCATATTTAATAACAAATTCATTCTGTGTTTACAATTTTTCCAAATTAAAGACTGGCATCATGTTTATAACTACGTCATATTTAAATGTAATTAACATCCGTAGAATTAACGCCCTTTATGTCAGAGATAATATGTTAAAATACATTTTAGTATAAAGATATTATATTTATTTTTTTATGCTATCTTGTAATCTTTGATTTCAAATATATGATTTATAGTGTACATGTATTTGCATTAACATTTGTGTTGATAAACAATATATGTCACTCATTAGTAAATGATACGTTTTTGCAATAAAAATTTTACACTTTTCTTCTTTGGATTAAAAATACGTCAAACCCGTCATACGTTAAACCCCCAAAAGTACTTTTGACTACTGTTGAAATAATTTAAAATGCTTTAGTATTTTTTGCGGACGCCTGGTGCTTTTCACCATTCTTTACTTGTGTTTGTATAATCTACCATGCAAAACATGTTGAGACGAGAAACATCTCTACGGCATTGTTGTGCTAGTTAAAAAGGAATACCGAAAATTATTGCTCATAATATTTCGGCTATTTCAATGATTAATAATTCAAGAGTCCAAGAGAGAAAATACAAAATTAATCTCAAGTATTAAAAATTTTCATGAAGGTATCAACATTATTTTATTTTGTTTTTATTTAGTCTTCATTAAGATTCGAGAACACAGCTGAGACACATCTATACATAAACTATTTAAGGTCATACGCAACGTAGTTTGAACTTCTTTGGGCTCTTCCCTGGAGTTGAAGAGTTCCACTAAAAGAAAGACCTGTGTGCAATATTTTTAATGTCTATATATGAATTTGTACACCTCTTCTAAAACAATTTTTGATGAATTAAAATCTGGAATTTATGTTTTATAATTTTTATACATTTTTATTTGAATAATGCAACAATTTTCAAAATTCGATATCTTTTCAAAACCTCTGGTAAGGAATGCTGATTTTTTGTCTATGAACATGTAATTATATTATAAGTTTAACTTTGGAATGTCTTTGAAATCTGTCAGTAGGTAAGGTACGTTGCGTATGTCCTTAATCCTAGTTCTCTACTTCAAGTATTACACCGTTTGTTTAACATTTTATCAGCCCTATTTCTGTCCATTGTTAAGAACGCCAATTAAAGTTTTAGCATTTTTCTTAAATACATTTAGAACAAATTGTCAATTTTACTTAAAAAATATTCAACAATTGTTTTTTTTTTAAATAAAAATAGAACTGATAAAAAAATATTTGCTCTATTAATTTTTTTTTATAAAGCCACTGTCTTTTTACTGTTTTGTGTATTCATGTGTTATTTTTGCTTTCTACAAATAAACCCCTAGAGACCTCCACCATTTTATAATTTTTTTTTATGTCCCTTCTTTTGCAGTAATGTTGTCTAAAAACAAAAGGGTGCTCATTAATATGTAGTACTATTGCCTACAAGTATATATTGTGACAACTTCTTTACATTCGTTTGGTGTTTGATTTTTCCCGCTTTTGAATATAGGTGAAGGTCACTGTGTATCAAAAGCACGTGTTTGAACTAAGTACTTCCCCATAGTTCATAAAGTAAATAAACATTGATAATTAAAATTAGACATGTTTATTTTCATCACTTTAATGCAAAAAAGGTCTTAAATATTATGATTTTAACTAATGAATCATTTTTTGTATCGGAGCATCAATTCTATTTATAGAACGACTTGTGATTGTTGGAAAAACCCACATGTGCATTAACAAGTGTATTGCTTTTACCGTGTGTATTATATGACAGCAATTAATTACTTTTGATGGTTATAAATTAATTTTGAACCAATTAAAAGCCTTATACTTTGTAACATACCAGTATATTGCATTAAACAAAAAGTGACAGCTAGGCCTATTGCATCATACCCCGTGCCGCGATTCGCATCGAGTTCACAACAGGTGTACAAAATGTGTACAGTAAACGCTAGGATTCTAGTGATTTGATTTGTTTTATTGAAAGAAATGTAACTGATAACATTCAATTGGTACACAATTAATAATTCATGCATAGCGGGAAGCATGGCGGCAACATATGATGCATGGCGGGAGATCATGAATGCATGGCGGTACCGCCATGCAAAAACGGCCTGGGGAAAACACTGATCCTATCTGAGTTTTAAATCATGTACCGGGTATGTATTGAATATTCAATCACTATATTGCATGTACATAATATTAAAATAATATACTGGTTTTATCATTAAGTAATTGCGCCATAGAGACAGCAATTGTAAGCTAAGTGGTACCAAATTAATGTGTGCCGACATGATTTAAATGAACTACAATGTATAGAGAAGAGCATGATAAGAACTGCTCTTATCGTCTAACAATGTAATTTTCCTTTACCTTACTCAGTGTTACTACATGTAATTGCCTTCTATTATTAGAAATGTACGTAACGCAGCATTACACAGAAATAGCAGTAAGAGAGTCGGGGATTTCCAGTTGCATATTTTTAGAATAACAAGTGGAGTTATCTAACTTGCTTAATGTGGCGCTGGATCCAGAACGGAAGTAAATTTACGCTGACAGAAAGCGCTTTGCGCTGCGCTTAAAAATGTATTCGTTGAATTGCATCAGGCAAGGATTGTAAGGATGCCATATACAAGTATCACTAATTTAGACAGTATTTAAATCAATGAATAAGACAAGTTTTGATGTATATAACGTCTTTGAAATGGGTCCTGGCAGGGGGCCGGCTTGGGGCTTATGATAGGTAGACAGTAGTGTTGTCAAATCGGTTAAAACTCAGAATCGATTAATCGGTAACATCGGTTGACCCTAACCGACTGATCATCGGCCAATAATCGAATCGGTAACCTTTTGCATAAAATAGGCATTATACTTTATAAAAATTAGAATTTTATTGTTAAATAATGTAAGCAAAGGTGCATTGTATAGATCAAAATTATAAAAATAGTATATATGCAGTTTAATTAACGATTTCAGTAATACAGATTTTTGCATGATTATATAGGAATTATTTGTCCTGGGAAAAGTAAGCATTGACAGATCAGGTTTTAATTTACATGATCATCTAAAATGTATATGGAATTAATTTTTTAAACTGTTATAAGACATTTAATATTGTAAATTCCTTGTCATTCCGTATGAAATGACAAGTGAATTCCCCCCAAATACTGAAAATTAATATATTTTATTTAAACAAGTAGTTTAGTTTCTTCAGTTTAGAAATAAAAATATCATAAAATTTAGAGCAAAGAAAACAATACTAATTTTTCAAGCTCCGCCCCTCATCCAATGGTAGGTAATACAATTATCAAACAGTGTTCAATAATTAAAAAAATAATTATCGATGGAAACCAAGATTTGTTTAATTACCCAAAGCTGAATCTTTGACACTAATATCGCTTGGGGTTGAGTTTTGTTGACGTAATTATCATTATGATTATGGACACGCGCTTGGTATGCACTATACCGGTTAGCATAACTTTATGACACGCTTGGAATTAATTAAAAAAAGAAAATGTTCAGATATCACTGTTAAGTACTTATAAAATAGATTTAACTTAAATGTTCACACATGCACATTTTAAAAACGTATACCGATAGTAAAAAAAGTTGACGTGCTACTTTCGTTTTAGATTCGTAAATTTTTTTTTTAAGTTACTGAGCATGAAAAATTAAAGTCACATCCAATTTCTGCGGTTTTTTGATGCGCACTTTACATAGGAACTGCGTTTTTTTCAGGACTTTTACCCCCAAAGTTGGGGGTGCGTCTTTTACAACATTGCGCACAATACTCGGGATTTTACGGTATCTTTTAATTAATGTCAAACATATTTTAAGTACATGTATTTTAAAATAGTAAAGGACAACTCTTGAAAGATATATATAATATATTGATAAAAAGAGTCTGTTCTTGAAATAAAAGTGAGAAAACTGTAAAAAAGATATGTGCTGAAATATACCGATTAATCGATTGTTAAAATCTCCAATCGATTGTCTAAAATCGACAGCCTTTCCGACCGATCATCGATTATAAATCGATCATCGTGACAACACTAGTAGACAGACTACGCGGCACAACGATACCTCCGCCCATGCTGGTTGACACCTCGGCCCTGACGGGTCGGCTCAAAATTGTTGACACCTCAGCCCATAACGAAGACTGCTCGACCCGTTAGGAATAAAATTAAATTTAGTTCGTTTAGATTAGTTTAATTTTTTTGGGTACTTTCATGCCACGGTAATGTAAATGTGTACTTTGAGTTTGTATATCTAATCACTATACGTATACTATAAATATACAATAATTTCAATATCTCAGTATTTTCTAACAAACCACATCACAACATCAAATTACAATCCCTTGATTAGGAGGTACATGTTATAGGTCTACACAGAAGTTTTTGCCCTGGTTTGCAATATTTATTGATTTAGTTATTTTTGATATATTTTACTGCTAAATTTAAAAACTCATATTTTTTTCAAATCAATTCAATAAAATATCAACAAGGGTTTCTTAAAGGAACTTTTCATTAACATGAGTGTCTCCCAATTATGGCTTCTCGTAAAATTTTAACTCCTTATAGTCACCACCCCATATGACACGCGCTTGAGACTCTAAAGGATGCACCGCGTCTTCTTGTTTATTTAATGATTAGCACTTATGATCAAGTTACTAATGGACTGTTTTTCGTTAATTGCCGTCTTGGAAGATTGAAAATGAATCAAATTAATTTTCTTTTACATTTCATATATATATTACAGCATAAATAATAAATATATTTAATTGAAATATTGTATTTCTGTTTGGGCCGAGGTGTCTTTTATGTGAGCCGAGGTGTCTGCAAATTTGGGCCGAGCCGTCGGAGCCGAGGTGTCGTTGGGCCAAGCAGTCTGCCAGGGGAAGGGTATTTTTGTAGTTGCTGAAGAAAAAGATCAATCATTTCATAGGATCTATATCTTGTGTGAATATATAAAAAATCGACATGAAATAGAATTTTCAATTACTTACTTGCCGAGTTTCCCTCTTTTTGAAAGCTATCCTTGGCTTCTTGGGTGTGCTGCTCATCAGCCTCAGGGGGGAATTGAAGTCATCAGCCTTTCGTTTCCCCGTAGCTGGCGTGTTTTCCTGTGGAGGGTTGATCTCAACAGTCGGCACAGCATCTCTTTCCAACTCCTTTCGCTGAACGGGGACTCCTATGGACTCCATTATTTTTCTGTACTTGACGGTCGAAAAATTTACAGAACAAATATGGCGACTGACACTGCCACTGTCCATGATTGGAGCTTACGCAGCCTAAACTACACAATTAAAACCTAATTACGACATCTACAAAAAGTTCTAAACACACTGCGATCCAAAATATTTACACAAAACAGTAACACTTGAATTTACACGGATATAACGATGATGATTCGATGAAAAAACACCTATTTCGTTGTGACATCACGCTTTTCAACTGAATAGATAAGTCGGACCACAGCAATGTCGGACTAGAACAAACTCATCAAACCGAAGTCGGATCACTTTGTTCATTTACAAACAAACTCGGACCATAGATAAATTTACGATATTTTGATAGGATTATGTTTACAAATTGATTAAGTTACATTTATTTCGAAAATTTCAAATTTATTTTTATTACTCTCTCTCTCTCTCTCTCTCTCAATACTACTCGCCCTCAAATTTTGAGTACTCTGAGTAGGGTGCGCAGCTAATTAAAAGATGTTAAAAAGTAGAGAAAAGTAAATTTCAAAGCGGTGAAAAGGGAACAGTATTAAATTTTTAGTGAAGATAAAAAGGTAAGAAAAACAGTATTCACAGTTAAAAGATATAAAAACACTATAGTATGATTAAGGTCTGGGGTGATTCAATTTGCTCACTTCCAGTTTGAAATGTTCAACATCTGGAAGCGAGACAACACTGCCCAGCAGTCTGTTCCACTGAACTATAGTAAGAGGGAAAAAGGAATATTTATACACATTTTTTATAGTTTGTATTTGACGAAAGGTGAGGGAATGAGATGAACGGATAGTCCTACTTGGGGGGATGAATTGAACTGAAGGGATGGTTACTAGTCCATGTACGATCTTGTACATAAGTACAAGCCTTGCATCTGCCCTCCTTTGTTGCAAGCTTCGCCAACATAGGGTTTAATTGTAGCACATGTAGCATATCTGTGACACTTGATGTTCTTCTAAAATCCGACATCACCCACCTTGCAGCTCTGCGCTGAACAGCCTCAACTTGGTTAATAAGTGTAATCAAGTGAGGGTCCCAAACGCTGGCAGCATATACTCAAGCTGTGGACGTACCACTGCTTTGTATGCCGCTGACCGGAGCTGCTGGTTCCTGGTCGGTATATTTCTGCGTAAGAAGCCAAGGGAGCTGTTGGCTTTGTTTGTGACCCGACTTATGTGCTGGCTTCAGTTCAAGTTATCCGATATATCGACACCCAGATACCGGGCTGATGACGTAGTCTCTAATACTTGACCATGAAGTATATAGTTGTTACAAATGGGGTATCTGGATGTCGTTATATGGATTACCAGACACCTACTTGGGTTGAATTCCATGTCCCACAAGGTCTCCCAGTTCTCTAGTTGCCTAAGGTCCTAACTCTTGGAGCATTGACTGACATCCCTGTCCATCCATAGTAATATAGATGACAGTGTCATCTGCAAAGAGTCTGACCTGTGACTTCACATGCTCCGGCAAGTCGTTTATGTAAGCGAGGAAAAGGATGGGACCAAGGATAGAGCCCTGAGGGACCCCAGATGTAACGGGGATGGATGTGGAGAACTCGCCATCTACCTCAACCCTCTGGGAACGGTTGCTGAGGAACCCCTTGATGCATGCTAGGTTTCGGCCTCGAACACCATACTCATTTAGTTTAAAAAGGAGTTCGTTGTGCGAGACCTTGTCAAAGGCCTTGCTGAAATCCAACAGGATCAAGTCAGTTTGCTTACCGTATTGAATGTTACGTGCAAGTTCATCAACCATCATCACCAGCTGGGTTTCGCAGCTCCGTCGCTCCCTAAATCCGTGTTGGAGGTCATATAAGATGTTATTTTGTGTAAAATGTTTTACCAAGTTTGATGTTATAATATGCTCCATAGTTTTGCACAGTATGAAGGTAAGGGATATAGGTCTGTAATTTGCTGGGTTTGATCTGTCCCCCTTCTTAAATAGTGGGCTGACATTAGCGGTGCACCACTCTCTGGGTAATGTACCTGTGTCATAGGAGAGCTGAAAGAGGGTTTGGATTATTGGGCTTACCTCTTGGTGCAGTTCTTTAAGTAAGATGGGTGGAATCTGATCAGGGCCAGCTGCTTTGTCTGTTTTTATGTTTTTCAGCAATTTTTTAATACCCTCTTTGGTTACCTTGATTTCCGGCATGTGGCTTCTTGCTGGGGAGGGTTGGTCAGTAAAAGAGGTAGACTCGGCTGAGTGAGGGGTACTGGTATGTTGCTCGCTTACCTTCATGCGCACCATCTGGGAGAGGGTAAGGGGAGATTTAGGGCTGAAAACCGACTGAAATTGTCGGTTTAAGATGTCAGCTTTCTCAACAGGCTCTGATTTGAGAATGCCGCCCTCCTTAAGCGGTGACACACCACATGAGTCCCTCTTAGCGTGTTTCAGGAAGGTGAAAAGCTTCTTGGGGGCGTAGGTTTGTTTGGGGTTTACTTCTGACTCGGAGACCTGTTTTTCCAGGATACCAAGGATGTTGTTCACATATCTATGATATGGAAGTCTTATTTATTGTTGGACTAGATGTTTAGTACCCGTACTTTTATAATGTTGTTTATCCTCTGGTCTTTTTGTTCTTCTCTGTCTGTAAAAGAGTTTATCACGTTTTCTAATTAAGCGTTTGATGTGAATATCAATCCAGGGTAGTTCGTTCTTTCCTCTGGTCCTTACAGATGGTACAAAAGTTGACAAGTTGACAAACCTTCTGAGATTTTTTGTTTGAATTCATTCCATAGATATGTATGTATATTTATGAGAACTTGATCTTTATACTGAGCAATATGATGTCTAAACCCATCCCAGTCTGCTTTTTTGTACAGGTGGACATTTCTAGGCTTGGTTTTGCTTACCTGCGGTTTTATGTTTGACTCTGTGTACACAATATCATGATCACTTAAACCAGGTAAGGGGGCCACTTTACTTACCAGAGTTGGGCGATTTGTCAAATACAAATCAAGAGTATTTTCACCTCTAGTAGGGAAATCAACCATTTGCTGTAGATTATTGTCTTGTATGAGCTCTGTAAAATACTCATATAAGTTGTATTTCTACAGCTAGAGTCAATGCTGTTTTTTACCCAATCATACTTCGGCATATTAAAGTCACCCATTAGCCAGATGGTGCCACCTTTATGAGCAAACTTGGATAGTGAGATGTTCAGCTCGGTTAAGCTTTGTTCATCTGCGTCCTCCGTCTGGTTTGTAATAAGCACCTACATACAATGATTTGCTACCATGCAAATTTACTTTGACCCATAATAAGTCACAGTCAGTTTCCGGCTCAGAGGCTCTTGACGTTGTAAACTGTTTACGAACAATGCAGTATAAATACGCCTCCACCTCTGGTTTTAACTCTATCCCTACCAAATACAGTATAACCCATGTCTACTGGAAATACCTCACTGTCAGCTATATCGGGTGTCAACCATGATTCAGTACCTACCACAATATCAGGGGAGATAGTTACCTATAAGATTTTGGAACTCACCTTTTTTATTACATATAGACCTACAGTTAATATTTAAGGTCTTAAGTCCTCTAATGACATTGTCTGGGCTTACTTCTGGTACTTTGTTTTCGATTTTTCTTTCTTGGTGTTGATGTGATTTTTGGTGGACTGGATGGTAGGTCCATATCAGTTTCAGAGTTTTCTTGACTAAGGGGGGCATAGGTGTTTTCTGACTCTAGGTAATTAAAGGAGAAAAAGGCCACTGCTGAAGTTTGGCATACCACATTGAAAACATACCCATGAACAATTTGAGTTGTCAAGGATTTCATAAACCTTTGTGTCAATATTTTGACAGGGGGCATGAAACCATGCATCACAAGAGTCACAACAGACCCCTTGGTATATAAAACAATATAACATTGAACCCAAATAAATTTTATTTAATATATATATTTATTTTTATAAAATATTTAATTGACAACAGAATTTTTTTTTAAAAAACTGAACAATTAAAAATAAAATTGACGCGACCTCTCCTCTAAGAAGGTTTTGGTTATTTTATAGACGTTGTTGTGAAATGCATGTATACATGTTCAAACATGTGCATACCAAAAATGAACTTAGATAGTCCTCTACTGATTGTGTAACCAATTTAAAGTAACAAAGGTCAAAAAATTAATGTGAAAAACACGATGACTTAATATTTTCAGAGACTTTTAGTTTAATAGACCAATTGTTTGGGGTTGTTTTTTTTTTTTGTTTTTTTTTTTGGAGGGGGGGGGGAGCAGTAAGGTTTAATGCTTTATTTGGCCTAGCAAATATGTAAATTTTGAAAAGGATATTAGATAATCTAAATATGAATAAAATGTTAAAGTCGATGTACTTGTATTTCACTTTTCATCTTGACGTTTATTTATAAGAATTGCATGTATTACGCATTCTACACATGGAAATCATATAAATGTTAAAAAGAAATGGAAAGTGATAAATGAAAAGCAATGCACACATTAAAGAAAATATGGGTTATAAATTTTCCATTTTTTAAAACTTAAAACAATTTAACAAATATAACATTAAAATCAATTAACGAAAAAAATATCAAAATCCCTTAGGTAGAAATAAATAGACTCGGCCTCGTTAAAACTGAATAAAATTCAACGACACAATTTCTTCATTTCTTCAATACTTATTTCTAAGATCACAGTGCATGAATTATTTCTTCGTTGAAACAAAAATGATTGTATTATTCAAATTTGTGAAAGCTATAATTTCAGTTTTCTTGGGAAAAATAGACAGAAAAAATAATTCTTTTTTAAAATGACAACCTGTAAACACAGTTTTTATTGGCACGCTCTAAGTACATGCAGCATGTAAAATTTTTTCGTAATTTTTAATAATTAGTGCCGAACATGAAATAAAAAATTAAAATTTTGAAAAAATAAAGAAATACAGATAACGTCTTGATCAACACAACTATAAACGAAGTTCAGCTTGTCTAGATAATCTATATAAGAGACATCTCCTCTAATACAGATATCGCTATATAAAAAGTGATAAATTAATTGAACATCAATATTTATTTAATTCTTTTTTTTTTTGGTTAAATATGATACTAAGCATCCAATTATTCTTTAATTCAAATCAGAGAAAAAATATGATCGGTGCACACATTTTCTCGGCAGGCACGTATACATTCAAACTGTAGTGTACTGTACAGTGGATA